CTCGCGTCCGTTGGGCGTGGTGAAGCACTGCTGGGATGAGGTGTAGTGGTGGGAAAGCATAACCGTGCTCAGCGTTCCATGATATTGAGAAGTCGTCGGTAGCCTCTGCGTCCGGGTGAGGTGTTTTGGAACAGAAGTGGGCTAACTGTGTGTTGCTTGCATTGGCGAATAGATCGATGGAGTGCGGTCCCAAACGCCGCTCAATGAGGCGGAACCACGGTGCTTTAATTGAGTAGTCATCTCGATCGATCATCTTGGAGAGTTCGTCCGCTCGAGTGTTGAGCTCGCGTGGGATCCATTCGACCGTCAGGCGAATCCTCGAGGCCATGCACGTTTGAATAATGGCTCTGCATGTTGTGGTGAGACTAGGGCTTCGAGAGCCGCCTTTGCGAAGAATGAAGAATACGCCTTGGTTGTCAGTTCTGGCTAGGACGTGTCGGTTGTGGATCCCTCCCGCGAACGTTTGGAGAGCCCATAGAACTCCTTCCATTTCTCGTTGCGTGCTCGAGGTCCTTGTGAGATGCTCGGGCATTGCTGCATTTGCCTCGGTTCGCCCTCCCGGGAACGTGTCTAGTGTGGCTCCCCAACTGTGTGCGCTGGCGTCCACATGGATCACTGCGTCATAGCTGCTCGGAACGTGGAAGGAGGCGCCATTGAAGTTGTCGAATTCTTGCAGCCAAAACTCGAGTTCCTCGATTACGGCGGGGACTAATGGCACCTTGCTGTTCCATGAAGCGGCCTCCTGAATGGTCTGCAGCAGGTTCTGGCTAAATGCCCGCGCAGTTGTGCCGATGGCAAGTGACATCGAAGCGAGCATGCCAGTGACCCTCGCTACATGGCGGATCGGGACCTTGCGCTTGGCTCTGCCTGCCATGCAAAGTTCTTGAATGGTCGAGCGTAACGATGTACGCCGCTCGGGACCAATGGAGAACTGGCCGTGCTTAGTATCCAGTTCGACACCCAGAAAGCGCAGCTGCTGGGTGGGTTGCAGATGCGACTTCTTAGAATTAATGACTAGCCCCGCCTTGTTGAGGTCCTCCACCACCATCTGACACGTAGTTCGAGCCTCTGCTTCCGTGTGACACAAAAATATGATGTCGTCAACGTACGGGATGACTCGTACCCCGAGGGCCCGCCAGCGGCGGGCGAGCTGCTTGATAAGTTGCGTGAATACAAATGGGGCCGTCGCGAGGCCGAAAGGGAGGGACCGAAAGACGTATGAGCGCCCGTCGAATTGGAATCCCAGGTACTTCCAGCATGACGGATGGATGTCGACATGGTGGTATCCTGATTTGAGGTCGACAACGAACATCCAATCGCCTATGCTGACGAGCTCCGCCACCCGCTTCAATCCCTCGTACTTGAATTTGGGGATGCTCAGATTTTGGTTTACTCTTCTGAGGTCCAGAATCAGTCGGCACTTGTCTCTTTGAACCACCACATTTAGTGGACTGATGAAGAGCTGTTGGGATCCGGGGGCGATAATGGCCGCACCACTATCAAGGAGCTCGATTATGGCCTGCTTGGTGAACTTTGAGTGGATTAGTGCTCCTGCGTGGTTGTCTTTCTGAAACGGCGTGGGGGGCCCATGCTTCCATGGTATCCAATAGCCATTTAAAACCACCGAGAGTATGAAGCTACTCTCGCACCATGAGCTCCACCAAGGAAATGCTGCGCGCAGGCGTCCGCGCATGGTCGTGACGAGCTTGTCGGTGATCGCGATCTCGTACGCATCATACTCAACCATCGAGCCGATACCCGGTGTATCTGTGGACCATGGGGTTCGGGGCAGCATGGGACATGCTTCGTTAAGCAAGGTATGCGGCAATGTAGGTCCCCCGTGAGGTTCTCACTCTCGCTCTCTCTTTTTCTCTCTCTTCCTTTCTCTCTCGTTGTTGTTGTTGATTTTTTTTTTTTTTTTTTTTCATGAGTCCTTTTGCCTGATTGCATGCACTTGGGTGTTCCGCCCTGTGCCTAACATGTGGTGCTCGTAGGGCAGCTCCTTCTTTTGCTCGGTGAGCTCATCACGGTGAACATCTCGCTCGCGCTCTTACTTCCTTCCCCATCATTTTTTTCGGCAGCTCCTTCTCCAGATTCGTTGGATAGCCGTCCTTGCTGCCGTCCCCTTCTTAAGACCATGGAAACCTTGCCTTGCGTCTCGGGCTCCTGGCTTAGTGGGAACAAAAAACTCCCTCCCTTCGTAGTTTTCTCTCTCGCTTGTTTCCCTCTTTCTCTCTCTTGCTCTTATTCTCTGGTTTTTTTTTTTTTTTTTTTTTTTTTTTTTTTCAGAGGCTTGTGGCTGCTCCCGTTGCAGCTTCTTACACACGTTGAAACCAAGGGCCTTAGTAAGTCACACAAAAATCACCGTTTTCACAAACATAGCCCATTATGCATTCCGAGCCCTCAATAATGCACACAAGAAATCCACCATTTCATTAAATGCTTTACTCTAGGACTCCTAGTCCTATTCCCTTGCCTTGGGGTTGGCCCGCGGCCATTCTACCATCCCCTACGGGAAAACGGCCAGCGGCCTTGCACTCCCTAGTGCTACCTTGATCATGCCCCTCGACACCGGGTGATTGCCCTTTCGGGAGTTCACACCACCGGTGCGGGCCCTTGGGCTCCCGCCCCATTTTCAGGGCAAGCGTTGGCCATGTGGCCCGGCTGCCCGCAGCGGTAGCAAGAGCCTCGAAAGCTCCTGCCGTTGCCATCACTTGGCGGGCCACGCTTGTTCCCAAAGGCCATGGGCCCACGCCCTCCGCCGCATGGGGCGCGATTGAAATTTCCTTGGGCGCGCTCCATGGCCGCTACGTCCGCGACGGCCTGCTTGAACGGGCGAGAAGTGAAGACGCTCTTGTCTTCATAGAGCTTGAACCTGTTTGCGGTGCGGAAGTTGGTGTAGTCGGCGACGTGAAGTAACTTGAAGCGGTTGGTGATGAGCGTGAAGGCTTCGCCAAGGAATTCGAGGGCGCTTGCCGGCTCGTTGTGCCGCACCTTGTGCTCTGCATGCTTCAAGTACGCCCGCAGGTGTTCCAGGACCTCGGCTTGCTCGCGCACGGCGGCGTTCTTGAACGAGGCGGCGGTGAGGGTGGGGTTGGGAGAAGGGAGCGGAGGGAGTTGCTCATCGGATGCAAAAGCGACATTTATAGCATGAGCCTCACCGTCTTCGTCTTCTTCATTGTCGTTGTCGGTGGGGTTGTTCATGACTGGGGTCGCAATGGCGCGTGTGTCTTTGCCCCTTCCGGTTTTTGTCGTGCGAGCGCGCTTCACGGACTCCGTTTTCGCCTTTTCGCTTTTAGCAGAAACCGAAGTTGCGTTTGGTGTAGCGATTTCTTCAGTAACAGCAGGGGTCTGCTGCTGTAACAGGGTCAGCAGCTGCTGCAGTTGGGCTGCAGTGAATGATGGCGCCACTTGCGCGCCCGTCGCCACTTGCGCGTGAGGCCCCACAGGCGCGTCAGGGCCCACAGGCGCGTCAGGGCCCACAGGCCTGCGTCGCTGGCGCGGACGCGGGGTGCCAGCCGCGCTGGTTGGTGCCGATTTGGCGCCTTCTGTCGTGGCCGGCGCGTCAGGGGCCACAGGGGCTCGAGGCACACCAGGGGCGTGTGCCTCGACACCAGCAGCGTGTGCCTCGGTCGCGCCCAGCAGGACGTCGACGCCAGTCGGGGAAATTTCCCCGTCTTCTGCCCGGCGCTTGTTTGGGCAATCGCCCGCGATTTCGCGTGCGTTTCTTGCGGACTCGGGTCGAGTGGGGGCCGTAGCGGTATTAGACTCCCCGCCGTTAAGTGCCATAGTTGTTGCGTTGTGCGCGAAAATGTCAGAGAGTAAAGTCGACGGGGATTGAAAGCGAGGAAGAGACTTGGTCCTCGCCAGCTTGAGTGTGGGAGACGAAAATCGGCTAAACCGTTTGAAAATGAGAGACGTGGGTGGAGGGAAATGACCTCCAGCCCACGTTTTGTACTCCAAAACGGGCGTTTAGCGCGGTTCGTCGCTGCCCATTCCTACATTACAGACTGCTTCGCTTTCAAAATACGAAATTTTGAAAAGCGTTACACTTTTAAACCCTGAAAATTCAGGCTTTTTTTCACAGGGACCCTGATGCATCAACGTCCCTAAAAGTGAATCTGAGGGCCTGCCCGGATATAAGACAATGTTGAATAGTAGACAGGGGGTGTCTAATATCCGGGTGTGTCTTATAAACGGGGTAGCCTCATTATTAGACACCTATTTGTGTGTACGAGTTAAGCCGGTGTAGGGGTTAGGGGCAATTTTATAACGAGGGGGTGTCCATTTATAAGAATTATAAGACACCCTAAACCGTCCCAAATACAAGACAACCCAAGCCTTTTTGCCCGTGTACGAGATAAGACATATATGTCTTATATCCGGGCGATGACGGTAACAAACTCCCTCATACAATCCTGAAATTAACAGGACTCAAAACATCCAGCCCTCCACAGCTTGTTCCATTTCTGCACCAATATTGGACGATATCAACCAAATCTAAGCTGGTGCTAGTACAGAACGGTACTCTAGAGGTGGTAGTGCCATGACGGTCTGTGAATGGAATTACAAGTGCATTAGCAGGGGTTGCCCTTGTCAGAATACAACTTTAGTAGTTCAGGATGTGGCTCAGTCGTACTATGGATTGAACTCCCTGGTTTGCGATCCAAAATACTGGAACGATACCACCAGTACGGTACAAACAAACCATCATGCGCTGCCCACAAATTTGGTTTTACAGATCACATCGATGTACCGTATTATTTTGACCACATGGAATGCACTGTCTCCACATTTGACCAAGTGATTTTCACCGTGCAGACACTTGACATTGAAGAGGACAGAGGTCTGGGGTTGGTGTGTTGTACACTTGTCACTCCACACACACTTATGCAGAGGTGGTGTGGAAGCCTAACCTAAGCAAGCTTGAGAGAGCCTGCACCCGCCTTGAGAGCCACAAACAGTGCTGATGCGTTGCGGAGGGGGTGTGGAAGCCTAACCTAAGCACGCTTGAGGGTGACCACGGGGAAGAAAGGATGTGCGGTGAAATCAAAAGACGCCTTGAGCACCGACCCTGCACCCGCAATGTGCGCCACAAACAGCGCCGTGGAATTGCTCGCACACACGCGCTCCAGCTGCTGCACCTCCCCCTCCACCGCCTCGCTCGCCCCTGCTGCAGCATTGCCCGCACACACGTGCTCACACATGCAGAGGCGGCAGCACTGAAGCCTAAGCACGCTTGAGAGTGACTACAGGGAAGAAAGGATGTGCGGTGAACTAAAACGAAGCCTTCAGCACCGACCCTGCGCCCACCCTGTGCTGTGCGCCACAAAGAGCGCCGTGGCGTTGCTCGCACACACACGCATGCAGAGGTGGTGTTATTGAAGCCTAAGCACGCTTGAGAGTGACCACGGGGAAGAAAGGATGTGCGGTGAACTCAAATGAGGCTTTCAGCACCGACCCTGCCCCCGCTCTGTGCGCCACAAACAGCGCCGTGGCATTGCTCGCACACACGCGCTCCAGCTGCTGCACCTCCCCTTCCACCGCCTCGCTCGCCCCTGCTGTGCCTCCAGGTGCGGCTGTGGCTGCGAGCGCATGGATGGTGGGCAGGTTGGTGGCCGTGGTGCGGAAGAAGTCGAGCGACATCTGGTAGAGCTCTGGTACCTGTAGGGGCGAAGAAAGGGGAGGGGGGGGAGGGGCACATGAGGAACCTAGGCGGTGGGTGGATTGTTGGTGAAACGGAAGGACGCAAGGGACGAGAGGGAGGAGGGCGGGAGAGAGCACACAGCATGCAGAGGGCAGGCGGGGCCAAGCGGAGTGCAGTGCAGGTGGGGGAATGGGAAGGGCAGGTGGGGGTGTGGAGAGGGCAGGTGGGGGTGTGCGGAGGACAGGTGGGGGAATGGAGAGGACAGGTGGGGCAATGGGGAGGGCGGCAATGGGGACGGCAGGTGGGGCAATGGGGACGGCAGGTGGGGGCATGGAGAGGATACTTGGGGAGATGGGGAGGGTAGATGGGGGAATGGGAGGGCAGGTGGGGGCATGGGGAGGGCATGTGGGGGCATGGGGAGGGCATGTGGGGGCATGGGGAGGATATGTGGGGGAATGGGGAGGATAGATGGGGGAATGGGAGGGCGGGGGAAAGGGCAGGAGGGCGGGACAGCAGGAAAATGGTAAGGGCAAGCGGGGAGTGGAGAGTGGAAGGTGCAGAGTGAACGCAAGAAACGAGTGAGAGGAGGCCGGGGAGAGACCAAATTGGGAGCGCAGGTGCGGGAATGGGGAGGGCAGGTGGGCACATGGGGCATGGAGGGGGCACGGGGAGGGCAAAGAGGATAGGAACGCATAGAGAGGTCAGCAGGGGAGACGGAGAGGTGAGGCATGGGTGGGCAACATGGGAAGGCCAACAGGGAGGATGGACAGGGGGAGAGGGGGACAGGGGGAGAGGAGGAGAGGGGGAGAGGGGGAGAGGGGGAGAGGGGGAGAGGGGGAGAGGGGGAGAGGGCAGTAGGGGTAAGGAGGACGCACGGAGAGGCCGGCCGGGGAGACAGCACGTTGGAAGGCGGCGTAGGAGAGTGGCTCGGGCAGCTGCACCCTCTTGAGCACCGCATAGCGCTGCTGGTAGCGCTGGTGGGCGGGCGTACAAGGAGGGGTGTGAGGGGGAGGGGCGCTGGGGTGTTTGTGGGAGGTGAAGGGGAAACAACAGGCAAGAGATGGCAGGTGCACCCTCTTGAGCACTGCATAGCGCTTCTTGTAGTGCTGGTGGGCGGGCGCAGGGGAGGTCACTGAGGAGGGAGCGCAGGTGGGTTGTGGAAGATGAAGGAGAATGAGAGGAAGGATTGTTGATGGAATTGTTGAGGGGTGTGAGATAATGGAGTGCAGATACGGCAGTGTGGCAGTGGGGGGAATGTCCTGCCTATCCACCATCCACCATCCACCGTTAGTGCGTCTCTGCACCCCCCAGGGCATGCCTCCACCCACCCCCTACTGCGTGCACCCAGCATCACATTGGCCAGCCAGCCAGTAGAACTGACACGAGCTAGGGGAATGAACTGGCACGCGCTGTAGCCAAGCTAGGGGCGCACAGCACACCTCTCATGCACCTCGCGCTTGAAGCATCCATGCGCGCCCGTGACGACACACCTGGCGGTCGGAGTTGAAGACGCACCTGGCGGTCGGAGTTGAAGACGCACCTGGCGGTCGGAGTTGAAGACGCACCTGGCGGTCGGAGTTGAAGACGCACCTGGCGGTCGGAGTTGAAGACGCACCTGGCGGTCGGAGTTGAAGACGCACCTGGCGGTCGGAGTTGAAGACGCACCTGGCGGTCGGAGTTGAAGACGCACCTGGCGGTCGGAGTTGAAGACGCACCTGGCGGTCGGAGTTGAAGACGCACCTGGCGGTCGGAGTTGAAGACGCACCTGGCGGTCGGAGTTGAAGACGCACCTGGCGGTCGGAGTTGAAGACGCACCTGGCGGTCGGAGTTGAAGACGCACCTGGCGGTCGGAGTTGAAGACGCACCTGGCGGTCGGAGTTGAAGACGCACCTGGCGGTCGGAGTTGAAGACGCACCTGGCGGTCGGAGTTGAAGACGCACCTGGCGGTCGGAGTTGAAGACGCACCTGGCGGTCGGAGTTGAAGACGCACCTGGCGGTCGGAGTTGAAGACGCACCTGGCGGTCGGAGTTGAAGACGCACCTGGCGGTCGGAGTTGAAGACGCACCTGGCGGTCGGAGTTGAAGACGCACCTGGCGGTCGGAGTTGAAGACGCACCTGGCGGTCGGAGTTGAAGACGCACCTGGCGGTCGGAGTTGAAGACGCACCTGGCGGTCGGAGTTGAAGACGCACCTGGCGGTCGGAGTTGAAGACGCACCTGGCGGTCGGAGTTGAAGACGCACCTGGCGGTCGGAGTTGAAGACGCACCTGGCGGTCGGAGTTGAAGACGCACCTGGCGGTCGGAGTTGAAGACGCACCTGGCGGTCGGAGTTGAAGACGCACCTGGCGGTCGGAGTTGAAGACGCACCTGGCGGTCGGAGTTGAAGACGCACCTGGCGGTCGGAGTTGAAGACGCACCTGGCGGTCGGAGTTGAAGACGCACCTGGCGGTCGGAGTTGAAGACGCACCTGGCGGTCGGAGTTGAAGACGCACCTGGCGGGTCGGAGTTGAAGACGCACCTGGCGGTCGGAGTTGAAGACGCACCTGGCGGTCGGAGTTGAAGACGCACCTGGCGGTCGGAGTTGAAGACGCACCTGGCGGTCGGAGTTGAAGACGCACCTGGCGGTCGGAGTTGAAGACGCACCTGGCGGTCGGAGTTGAAGACGCACCTGGCGGTCGGAGTTGAAGACGCACCTGGCGGTCGGAGTTGAAGACGCACCTGGCGGTCGGAGTTGAAGACGCACCTGGCGGTCGGAGTTGAAGACGCACCTGGCGGTCGGAGTTGAAGACGCACCTGGCGGTCGGAGTTGAAGACGCACCTGGCGGTCGGAGTTGAAGACGCACCTGGCGGTCGGAGTTGAAGACGCACCTGGCGGTCGGAGTTGAAGACGCACCTGGCGGTCGGAGTTGAAGACGCACCTGGCGGTCGGAGTTGAAGACGCACCTGGCGGTCGGAGTTGAAGACGCACCTGGCGGTCGGAGTTGAAGACGCACCTGGCGGTCGGAGTTGAAGACGCACCTGGCGGTCGGAGTTGAAGACGCACCTGGCGGTCGGAGTTGAAGACGCACCTGGCGGTCGGAGTTGAAGACGCACCTGGCGGTCGGAGTTGAAGACGCACCTGGCGGTCGGAGTTGAAGACGCACCTGGCGGTCGGAGTTGAAGACGCACCTGGCGGTCGGAGTTGAAGACGCACCTGGCGCGGTCGGAGTTGAAGGGAGAGGGGTGGTGCGGCAGCTTGCTGTCTAAGTCAAACGCAGCCAGTAGCTGTGGGGGCGGTGAGATGAGTAGGGAGAGGGGTGGAGGAGAGGGGTGATGGCGAATGGGGAGTGAGTGGGGGGGGGATTGGGGAGATTCAAGAGGGTGAGTGGGCAATGGGAAGAGTTGAAGAGCAGCAAGGTGATGGAGGAGGGTGGGAGGAAGGGCAGAGGCCGGGGGCGAGACAGCACACATGCATTCCAATCGCCTCATGACGTTACATGCCCACACACCCCTCTCACCCGCTCACATGCCACACTCACCTGCACGTAGGCCTTGCATAGAAGCTGGTAGGCGGTTATCAGCGCCAGATCCAGGGAAGGCGGTGGGCGCAGGTGCACAGCACAGCACACATGTGACATGCGTTCTCACTGCCTCACGCCCTTAACTGCCCACATACCCCACTCATCGGCACATAGGCCTTGCACCCCACTCACCCGCACATAGGCCTTGCACCCCGCTCACCCGCACATAGGCCTTGCACCCCGCTCACCCGCACATAGGCCTTGCACCCCGCTCACCCGCACGTAGACCTTGCATAGCAGCTGGTAGGCGGTTATCAGCGCCAGATCCAGTGAGGGTGGTGGGGGCGAGACAGCACACATGCATTCCCAACGCCTCATGGCGTCACCTGCCCACACACCCCTCTCACCCGCACGCTTGCCCCTCTCACTCACCCGCACGTAGGCCTTGCATAGCAGCTGGTAGGCGGTTATCAGCGCCAGATCCAGTGAGGGTGGTGGGGGCGAGGGAGGTGGGGCTACTGCTGGTTTGCGACGGGCCTTGCGGAAGGGGCTGCGACAGGGTGAGGGGCATCGGGATGGGCACGAGCGGCATGGTAGTGGGGGTGAGGGGCATGAAATGGGGATGGGGAGGAGACGGTCAGCACCAGTTGTGACTTGAGCACACAGCATAAGTTTGGGTGACTAGTTTAAGCAGCAGTAGAAGTGTCGTGACAGGAGGGGGTATGGCACATGCAAAGGACAAAGGTTGGAGGGAGGGAGGCACACCTGAGAAAGGTTTCTGCAGGGAAGCTTCCCGGGCAGAGACGTTATGGATGAGCGTGGCCAGCACACTGTCCAGGTACCTGCTCATGCATGCATGGCGAGGTGGTGGTATGTGAAGTTCAGGTGGTATGAAGAGGTGAGGTGTTATGAGGATGCGTAACAGCTTCCCAGGCAGAGACGTTGTGGATGAGCGTGGTGGCCAGCACACTGTCCAGGTACCTGCTCATGCATGCATGGTGAGGTGGTGCAGGAGGATGGAGAGATGGTACTACGTGAAGGTGTTATGTGAAGGCATGGGTGGGATGAACGAGCTTTCGGGGCAGAGACGTTATGGATGAGTGTGGCCAGCGCACTGTCCAAGAACCTGCATGCATGGCAAGATGGAGTTATCTGAGAGGTGGTGAAGGCGGATAGAGAGGTGAGGTAGTGTTTTGCAAGGTGTTACACAAAGGTGTTAAAGGGAGGGTGCACATTCATCTTGGTTGGGCCTCGGTTTATCTCTTGCTCAACCCCTTTGCTTTTGAGTCGACTCAAAAGCTATCTCTTGCTCAACCCCTTTGCCATCGCCAAGGTGTTGGTGCACACTTCGCGCAGACAATTTCGATTTTGTAAACCTGCCCGATTTTCGCCAAAAACTGCCACGTTGAATGTGCACTCTGGTTTTGAGGTGTTATGTAAAGGTGTTACATGAAGGTGTTATGTAAAGGTGTTACATGAAGGTGTTATGTAAAGGTGTTATGTAAAGGTGTTATGATGTAAAGGTGTTACGTGAAGAATTTATGCGAAGGTGGTATGTGCAGGTGTTATGTGAAGGTGTATCACGAATGCCAATGAAATATGACATTTGGCAGCCATGTACCATGTGCCATGTGCCATGTACCATGTACCATGTACCATGAACCATGTGCCATGTACCATGTACCATGTATGATGTGCCATGTGCCATGTACCATGTACCATGTGCCATGTGCCATGTGCCATGATGTGGCATGTGTCAAGGACATGGATGGATACATGCAATGCGCACACAGACATGCACAGCCACACATGCAGCCATGTACACACATTCTTGCACACAACCATGAGTGCACTCATCCACCCATACGACCACCCCTCCACTCCACACCATGCAACTATGCATACAGGCTCATTCACGGCGACAAACATGTCAAGGCTGTTAGCGACCAGCAGCAGCAGCCACATAGTGCAGGGTAGCAACAAGCAGGTGACTTGCACGTGGGAGATGCATGACATGGCATGACATGGTGTGTGGGTGGGACGCACCAGAAGGCAGAGAGAAACTCAGAGGGGGCAAAGAGGCACGTGGAGGAGGCAAGGGATGTAAGGGGGACGGCATGTGGGAGGTGTGTTGTGGCATCACATGTGGTGTGATGAGGCAGGCAGGAGGACTGACCAGAAGGCGGAAAGGAACTCAGAGGGCGCATAGAGGCGCGTGGAGAAGCCAAGCTGCAGATAGCGAATGACGATGCGACACGTGTACTCCACCACCCAGCTCGTTGCCACGCTCTCCCTCCACCACCCCTGATGGCAGCGCGGTGTTGAGAGGGAGGGAGGAAGAGAGAAAAGGAGGAAGGGAGGAAGGGTGCGCACAGGGAGAGGAAGGAAAAGGATGAATGGTGGGTGTGCGCCATACACGCCCGCGACACGTGTGCTACACCACCCAGCTGGTCGCCATGCCACGCTCTCCCTCCACCACCCCTGCTTGGAGCTCAGAGTTGAGAGGGAAGGAAGGGTTGGGGAAGGGGGGGAGCACAGCTGCATTTTATTACCCCGTCGAACAGTTTCTATGTAGGAAATACAGAAAAAACAAAACATTATATTCAACAAACTGTAGCCTTCCAAATTGTATGATTTTTACACTACTTGAAAAGGTCGGTAATTCACATATGGTAGTGATTCGTTTTCAAGCTTTCTTCGACAACACTTCGCTTTATGTCGTATCAACACAAGACCTATTTCACATCGGTGTGCTCTAAAACGCAAGAGATTACTAGTGCATGATGGGATTCGGTCGACGACGGGACGGTCGACGACGAAATTGCTATCGCAGGCTCTGCTTGACGGGATCCAGTCGACGACGCCGACGGGCATTGCTAATGCACATTAGTGGTCGACGAGAACCTTCGATGGGCACTGCTCGGCGTGCTCTGCTCGACGAGCTGGTCTCGGCGAATGCTGTTCGACCAAGCAGCGTCGAGCTGGTCGGTGAAAGTAACGTCTGACCCTTCGTCTTCGTACTCGGTCGAGTCGGTCCCTGCAGCGTGCTAGAAAGGCTGGCCCCGGTGGTACAAGAATGCATTCTCATAAAGTTCATATTCACTTGCTCTACGGCGCACGGGTGGCGAAACCGTCAACAGATGTTCTACCTGACACCTGCGCATGAATGTGATTAAAATTGATGATATACGTATTAATAAGAATCGTAGGGAATGCCTCCTTTTTTTGTGCCTCCTATTCCTTATCAAGTTTGCCCATTGCAGTTTATGTATTTATTTGTTTACGTATACGCTTTTAATTCAGTTGCAGCTGTGCTCTGTATCGAACTGCTCTGTGGCGCGTTTCTGCACGCTTTTCTCTGCACCACTTTCCGTTGAGTCGAGACGGAATCCGTCGACGGAGGCGGATTTACTCGACGGACAGGGGGGTTGGTGCAGGCGGGGTTGGTGCAGGCGGGGTTGGTGCAGACGGGGGGGAGCACGCGGGGTCAACGCCAGCTCGAGCGGGGACCACCTCGCGTCACTCCGAGCTGGCGAGGCTCGTTTCGAGCGGGCGGGTTGGCTGGCTCCCGCCCGTCGCGTGCCCCGCCACGTGACAGAGGGAAAACGGAAATCCCTCCGAGGAAAACCCGCAGGGGCAAAAGCGGGTTCCCGGAGGGATTCGGCCGAGGTCTTCCCAAACGAAAGCCTCATCGGAACTCGGTCGTCGGAGCCGAGTTGCCTGTGTCGTCGAGGGGGGTCGTCGGAGCGAGGGCTGACGAGGCGAGCGACTGACGCGCGTGCGAGCCCGCCAGCCTGGCCCAGGGCTGGGCCGAGCGCACGACCGCCGCCCCGCAGCCCCGCTCCGAAAGTGAACAACGGCCCACGTTACCGGGTGGGGTCGGCGAACTGGCGACAGCTCGCGCGTGGGAAAATTACCCTCGCGCGAAGGCAGCCCACACGTGCCACCTGCCCGCGAGGTCCTAGTAACCCATCGCGGCCTGACCGGACGGGCAGGCGAGGGCCAGGCGAAAAATCGGGGCCCCCTCGGGACACTCGACAATTTCGCGACCCGTTGCGGTCATGCCACGTGTTCGCCCGTGGCTTCGCAGCGCGCGCATGCAAAATTTCGGACGATGCGAAATTAAAACATCTCGCATCTACCACCGCGATCCGCTACGAAAATCGACACGTGTCGGCCCTAGCGACGCTCCGCGCGCATGCGAGTTGTGCGTCCCCTCGCCGACCTGGGCCAATGGACGCGAGGTCGTCGCTCTGCCAGGGCGGAGACGGACCACCTGTGCCACTAGCGCATGCGCCCTCCGAGCCCTGCCGAGCCAGGCCCCACACCCTTGGGCGATGCTGAATGGCCCCACCCCCTTTTCATTGTGGAAGGTGGCTTCGCTCCTCATTTTCTCCTTTTCTCCTTTTCTCCTTTTCCCAGACAGCTCTGCGCCTCCCCCTAGATCCGTGCTATCGTACCTTAGCCGTCCTAGTATTCCCTTAGTCGATATGGAGCCGATCCCCGACGCCGAGAAGTCGGCGCCGACTTCGGCTGACTTTCCCCTTAGACACCAAATGGGTCGCGGTCTCAGCTTCACCTTCGAGTGGGACGACTTCGCCGCCCTTCGCGACCAGAAGAAAGAGTTCACCGACAGATGCTTGGGATTCGCCATCAGGTGGGACTCGAGTAGTCGCGGTTGGAAAATAGGGCGGATATCGGCGCCGACTACCTCTAGATGGGCGCATACAATATATGTCGGCGCCGTCGGGGGCGGATTGTCGCAGATTGTCGCGACCCCGTCCATGGACGTCGGTCGGCATAGCAAGCGTCGACCTGGTAGCGTTAGCGTTTGCTTACCCGCCATGTGATCATCCCTCATGCCCACTCGCGCGATCAGGTACGCTTGGTTTCGCATTGGACTGAACGACCAGAAGTTGTGGGTAATCGAAGTCGGCCCGCTTCGATCTGCCTTGAAGGCCGCCGACCATTCTTGCTTTGCTACAGTTTTCGACGCCGACATCGCCGCCATCCCGTTAAGCACGACGTGAGCTGTCTCCCCGTTGTCCAGTTATCGTTTTGTTTAGTCGGTCGCATCATCGCCTAATGTTGTGGTCGACGCTGTCGTGTATTGCATGTGCAGCGGCGGTCCGCTTCCAGGGTCACACTGCAGCGTCATAGCCATCCTCTACCCAGGAGATCTGCTGAAGGCTGAGGGACAGGTCTGCAGGACCTCGATCTGGCACATCGACCCGCATACCGGGAAACTGAAGCACCGCGACGAGGCCGTCCGCGTGCTGAAGTAAGTTGTGAATAGTCGTCGATTTCCTGCTTGTTAGTCGCCGACCCAGGGTATCACATGCTGACCGCCTCCCTTTACCACGATGCTCCAGGCTATTCCGCACGGCAGTCCTGGCCGAGCTGGGGCGTCCCGGTAGGCAGTGGGACGGGGCACCGCCATCACAAGCAGTGGTGGAGGACAGGCTTGCCGACTGCGACCAGCCTATCCGCGACGTGAGTTGCACATTGCACGTTTATCCATTAAGGAGGGTGCACGTTTCTGTATGCTCCGCTCACAATGTTCCGCGCTTGCCGGTGTTGTATGCAGAAAGTGCCAAACACAGTGTCGGACGAGAAGGTCGGCACCGGCATGCTTGTCGCGACGTCGTTCGGGTGGGTGGCCAAACAGGTTGACCTGCTGACGGGCGAGAAGGGTCGTGGTGTGGTGAGCATCGAGAACATCAAGGCAAAGGGGCTGCGGTCGTTGCGAGACAGCATGGTGGAGTACATCTGCAAGCGCATCGCCGAAAAACGCTCTGCGGCGCCGACATCACAACCCGCCGACAGTGTGATTGATGACGACGGCGCGGAAAGACAGAATGCGCCCCAAGCAGCAGTTGCCGCCCAGCATCAGGGGAACGCGAGGGTGTCCGCGGAAGGAGGAAATGGTGGTGGAGGAGGCAACGCTGCGACAGGTGGAGGAAGGAAGGAAGAGGAGGAGTCGGAGGAGGATTCGGAGTCGGAGTCGGAGTCTGAGGAGGAGGCGGAGGAGGACGACGAGGCGGTGAAGCGGAAGGACGAGGAGGAGGACGAGGAGGAGGAGGAGAAGGACGAGATGGATGACGGCGATGAGGAGGAGGAAGGGAAGGATGAGGAGGGGGAAGGGAAGGATGGGGAGGGGGAAAGGGAAGGATGAGGAGGGGGAAGGGAAGGATGGGGAGGGGGACAGGAAGGATGAGGAGGGGGTGGAGGAAGTGGTGGAGTTTGAGGTGGAGTTCGAAGAGGAGGAAGCTGCGGTAGAGGCGGTGGGGTCGGTGGATGAAAAGAATGAGGAAGCGGAGGATGGCAATGCGGGTAAAGATACGAGGTCGGCAGAGGGGGGGAAGGAGAAGGATGAGGTCGGCGTGGAGGCAATGACAGAAAAGGGCCAGGAGGAGGCGGCATGCGAAGGTGGGAAGGTGTCGGTCGACGCTGGCGAAGCGGCGAACACCACGGGCGTGCAGGAGACGGGGGACGCTTCTGGTAGGCAGGGTAATGAGCTGGACGACGTCGAGCAGGTGCGACGGGAGAACTGGCTGTTGAGGGCGGAGAACGCTCGGCTGGCGACGTTGCTCGATGCGGAGCAGGCTCGGCTGGACAGGTTTTTTGCTGGGATACGTGGACTCGTCGACCACGTGAAGGAGTTGGCAGAGCAGGTCGACGACACCGAGAAGTATGCGGCGGAACAGCTGCGAAACGCGACGGCGGCCATGTCGAAGACAACCACGGGCAACATCACCGGCAGCTTCGACGAAGCGTGGAAGACGATGAAGACCTTCGCGGAATAGGCAACGGCGTGGTTGGAGGACTTCGACAACCCGCAGGGTCGTGTGGCAGTTGCACGCGCGGTAGCGGTCGACGCGTTGGCCGAGCATGTGACTGGGGTGGTGGGCGAAGCGCAGCGGGGTTTGGAGCTGTACATCACGACGCAACTATCCGCCGCGCAGGTCAACATCGCCACCGCTGTGACCACCAGGCTCCCCGTGCAGCCGCCGCCACCGCCTCCGCCCACGCCGCCCGCCCTCCCGGAAGAGCTCTTGAAGTCGTTCAAGGCCGACATTATGAAGGCGGTGACGGAGGCCACCCAGCAGTCTTTCGTCGCTTCCGGGATGAAGATGATGGCCGAGATGGTCGGCACTGTGGCGCCTGGTCGACGTGGGTCGTCGCCGTCGGCCAATGACGCCGATCACGCGCAACGGAAGACGGCCGAGAAGCAGGGCCTGAAGAGGACGGGCGACGGAGACGACAAGGAGAGCGCGAAGGGCGACGCGAAGCAGAGCAAGGGATCGGACGGGAGCCGCGGCTCGAAGCCTGCGCCACAGAGCGTGGTCGACCAGCTGAAGACGAAGGCGGGGTGGAGGGTGATAAGGACGTCGAACACCAAGGGTGGCGGAAGCGGGACGGCAGAGGGTGGCCCTGCCGACGGGGTTGCCGCTAACGTCGCCGCTCAGCCAGGCCCGCCTTTGGTCGCCGAGCAGACCCATCCTCAGGCGAGCGGTGGGAAAGTCGTGACCGACAAGGAGGTCCCAACTGCTCAGGCGGCGAAAGATGGCGGCGCCGGAACCACCAAGGGACCGTCCGTCGCTGTGGCGGCCAAGGGCAACGCGAAGGCTGCTTCTGCTACGGTCGCCGGCACCACCAAGTGCCCTCCCCGTAACCCCCCTGCGGCTACCAGCACGCCTGCCGGCCAGTCAGGTGCGACCAAAGATGGGGAGGCCCGTGCGGCCCCTCCAGCTCCAGGAGCCCCGGCTGCCGGCAAGGGCGGCGCGAAGGTTGCTTTGGCTAATGGCGCTGCTCCGGCATCAGCTAAGGGGCCCCCCGGTGCTGATGCGCTCAGGGAGATGCTCCGCCGCATGGAGGCACATAGCAGGGACGTGCAGCAGCATCCCGTGGTCGACGCCGGCCTTGCCGGAACAGCACGTCGCTCCGTCACTCCGCAGGTTGCCGGCACATCGTCCGGGGCCCCACCTGCAGCGCATCCGGTCGCCGCCCCACCGCCTGCGGACCCCAAGTCAGCATTTCTGCGCGCCCATTTAGTCGGATGCAAAGCGGCTGCTCCACCGGTGACTCAGCAGGAACACGGCAAAAGCGCGACGACGACGTCGGTAAACGCGACCGCACCCTCACTAGGTGAAGCTGTGGTCGATGCGGCGGCGGAGAGGGGAGTGAGTGCAGCGCTAGCCACCGGCGGCCGCGCCGACAAGCATGCCGAACTCGCTCCCGTCCTGGCCCATTTTGAAGCAGCAAAACGCCCTGAGCACGCCCCTGCTCTGGCCATCATGGACACGGCGCATGTGGAGCCGTCGGCGACCCACGGTGGGGGATCGGCGGAGCCGACGGCTGCAACAGGTGCTGTCGCCGAGAGAAATGCGGGAGGGAAGGGGAAGGTCGACACCGGGAAAGGGAGGGCGGTCTCTCAGAGGAAGGGAGTCCCTCCATCCAACATTGCGTAAATCCTCCCCTCCCCTCCCCTCCCCTCCCCTCCCCTCCCCTCCCCTCCCCTCCCCTCCCCTCCCTTTTCCTCCCCTCCCCTCCCCTCCCTTCCCCTCCCCTCCCCTCCCCTCCCCCCCCCTCCCCTCCCCGTCTTCCCGTGCAGTGTTTGTCATTCCAATCTTCAGCCATTCTGTGCCGGCCAATGCATCGTTGCAAGAAATCCGGAGCAGCGTCAGAATCGCTTGGGGCGGCGTGGTGCATCTTGAATGGAGAGCCCGAGAACTATTGCGCATGCTTGAAAACGGTGAGCTCCCGCTCTTTCATCTCGATGTCCTCTTCGTCCCCCGAAACCCTTCCTTTGGTAAAGTAACAATCACGGCTCGTTGTGTGACTTCCTTTGTTTCACTCTATCTTGCCCCTTGATTTCAACCTCAAATGGACCTGTTCGTTGCTCCCTCTTATTTATGCATGGAGCGGCACATATTCAAAAGTCATTGATGCACGTGTTCCTCCATCACATCTCTCTCCTCTCCTCTCCTCTCCTCTCCTCTCCTCTCCTCTCCTCTCCTCTCCGCGCCTCTCCTCTCCTCTCCTCTCCTCTCCTCTCCTCTCCCTTCCTCTCCCCTCCTCTCCCCTCCTCTCCCCTCCTCTCCCCTCCTCTCCACTCCTCTCCCCTCCTCTCCCCTCCTCTCCCCTCCTCTCCCCTCCTCTCCACTCCTCTCCCCTCCTCTCCCCGCCTCTCCCCTCCTCTCCCCTCATCTCCCCTCCTCTCCCCTCCTCTCCCCTCCTCTCCCCTCCTCTCCCCTCCTCTCCCCTCTTCTCCCCTCCTCTCCCATCCTCTCCCCGCCTCTCCCCTCCTCTCCCCTCCTCTCCAATCCTCTCCCCTCCTCTCCACTCCTCTCCCCTCCTCTCCTCTCCCCTCCTCTCCCCTCCTCTCCCCTCCTCTCCCCTCCTCTCCCCTCATCTCCCCTCCTCTCCCCTCCTCTCCCCTCCTCTCCCCTCCTCTCCCCTCCTCTCCCCTCCTCTCCCCTCCTCTCCACTCCTCTCCCCTCCTCTCCCCTCCTCTCCCCTCCTCTCCCCTCCTCTCCACTCCTCTCCCCTCCTCTCCCCGCCTCTCCCCTCCTCTCCCCTCCTCTCCCCTCCTCTCCCCTCCTCTCCCCTCCTCTCCCCTCCTCTCCCCTCCTCTCCCCTCCTCTCCAATCCTCTCCCCTCCTCTCCACTCCTCTCCCCTCCTCTCCCCTCCTCTCCCCTCCTCTCCCTCCTCTCCCCTCCTCTCCCCTCCTCTCCCCTCCTCTCCCCTCCTCTCCCCTCCTCTCCCCTCCTCTCCCCTCCTCTCCCCTCCTCTCCCCTCCTCTCCAATCCTCTCCCCTCCTCTCCACTCCTCTCCCCTCCTCTCCACTCCTCTCCCCTCCTCTCCCCTCCTCTCCCCTCCTCTCCCCTCCTCTCCCCTCCTCTCCCCTCCTCTCTCCGGGCAGCAGCACATACTCATTCGCCATGTACGACAACACAGATCCGGGCGAGTTGAAGCAGAATTACGGCCCAGATGAGCCGCGGCTGGAAAGAGCGTCTACCTTCCCCTCCGTGCTGCCAGCGCCTGTGCTTGTGCCACCCGACCATGTGTAGCCTTTTCCCGAGGACATGCTTGGCCGCACATACGAGGCGCACTGCAGGTACGTACACTTAAAGAGAAGTAGTGCAGCAAACACAGCTTCGTTGTCAGTGGATATGTGCGGTGTAAGGTAAGCTTCAAAGTATTTCTACATTTCAGCAAGTAGGAGTTTGTTTCATAAGCGACGCAGTGGGAACTAAAAACTCCACCTCTCGCCGTGAAAAGAAAAGATAAGAAATATATATACACACACGCATGCACGCACGCACGCACGCACGCACGCACACACACACAGAGACACACACAGACACAGACACACACACACACACACACAAACACAAACACAAATTTATCACTTGTAACCAACGAGAATGTGCATAGTGAAGGCTGGGAGCAACAGCGACCGTGTCTTTTTTATGTCCACACCCATACTTTGTGCGTTTCAAACATGTAGGTTTCAGCTTCCCCCTCCTACTTGGGACCTCGTGTACGCTCCCATGCTGCTGGGCTTACTGGTGCTGCTAGTGGCAGTGCTACTGTCCGTCACGATCGCAGTATTGGACGGCCATCTTGGAGAGAGCTGAGCGGTCCAAGAGTGAGGCGGTGGCCAGCACGTCGCATGAGCTGCGCACCCCAATCATTGGCATGATGGGTGAGTGAGAGCATGGGATGCTGGGTGAGTGCATTGGCATGATGGGTGAGTGAGGGCATGGCACATGGTGGGTGAGATGTGAGAGCTTGGCATGATGGGTGAGATTTAGGGCATGGCATGATGGGTGAGAGTTAGGGCATGGCATGATGGGTGAGATTTAGGGCATGGCATGATGGGTGAGAGGGAGAGCATGGCATGATGGGTGAGGGAATGGGCATGGCATGGTTGGTGAGGGCATGGCACGATGGGTGTGTGAGCATGGCATGGAGGGTGAGAGAGTATATGGTAAGGAGGGCGAGAGAGGGTATGGTATGGAGGGTGAGGCCATGTTAGGGTGGACGGGAACATGTCATGGTGGGTCTTGGCATTCACTAGTAATTACTCAATTTTTTTCAGTCTGCATATGTTTTGACAAATATAACGAGCTGCTGCAATTTTTCTCTTATTGAGATGCGTTCTCCCTCGTCCCCACCGGCAGGCATGATCGATGAGCTGTTGGATTCGCCATTGGAGGAGTGGCAGCATGAGAACCTGCGGGTGGCGAGGGCGTGTGCGGGCGAGACGGTGGAGCTCATCAACCTCCTCTCGCCAACATCCCCCCCCCTCCTCCCCCCCCGCCACACACACAGGCATGATAGAGGAGCTGCTAGACTCGGGGCTGGAGGAGTGGCAGCGGGCATACCTGGTAGATGCGAGGGCGTGTGCGGGCGAGAAGGTGGAGCTCATCAACCGAGTGTTGGACCTCGCCAAGCTGCAGGCCGGCAGGCTGCAGCTCGAGACTCTCCCCTGCTGCCTGCGCCGCATCGTGAGCGAGGCGATTGCAGCTGTTGAACTGATTGCACCGGGAAAGAACCTGAAAGGTATGGATGTGCAGTTGGGGCTCTCTTCTCGTCCTTGCCTTTTGAGTCGACTCAAAAGTCACCTCGTTACAACTGCAGCGGTTGAACTGATTGCACCGGGAAAGAATCCGCAAGGTATGGATGTGCAGTTAAGGCGCTCTTCTTCTCCTTGCCTTTCAGAGCTTTGCGTGTATCGTGCTTTGATGTTTTCTTTGTTTGTTTGTTTGTTTCCTGTTTTGTTAACTACAGTGACAGTCCATGTGGATGGGAGTGTTCCAGAAACATTACTCGGCGACCCAACTCGGCTCTTGCAAGTCTTGTCTGAGCTTGTCGGTGAGTCTTACAGAAGTGAAAGGGGATGCATCAAGCTACTAGCTATTTATTTTAACAGAGTGGTTTGGTGCTTTCTCAGGCAGGTTCATAAATTCTTGTTGTGCATGCAACATAGTTTTCTCCTTGTGGTTTGAGGAGAATGGTTCTGGTTCTGCTCAAACCAGCTCAGCCGGCTCGTGTGGTTTAGTTCCTCCATGCGAATTCTCCATCCTAGCATCCATGCAACTAGAAATTATTCTTTAGGCGCTTCTTCTCACTTTATGATCTTCAAAGAGAGACTAAATTCTTCCATGCATTTTAGATTTTCTCATCTTGTGTCTCCCCTCCCCTATTCCCGCCCCCCTCCTTGGCCACCCCCCACACTCCTCCCCCCACCCCTTCTCCGCCCCACCACGCCCTTCCCTCCTGCAGCAAGTGCCATGAACAACACGTCAGCCGGCTACATAACCATCCGCCTCTGGTGCATCTCTCCTCCACATGCTGCTGAAAGCACTCCTTCAATTCCTTCAGCTGCTGCTCTCACGGGCGCCACACAAGCCTCCTCTGAGCCTCCCCCGGCAGTCTCAGCGTGGCATCAGCTGGCCAGCTGTGTGCGGCGTTTTCCTCTGGCCACTTGCCTCCTCTGCCTCCCCTAGCGCCGCCCAGCCAGCCGCGGAGGGCCCATAGGCAACAGGTGTGGGCGGGCGTGTAGCAGAGACGGCGTGGGCAGTCCAGTGAAAAGGGAGGGTGGAGGTGGGCGGTTGGAGGAGGAGGTGAGGGAATGGGTGGAGGGGGGTTGTGCGGTGAGGGAGGAGGGCGAGTGGATGGTGGTGGTGGCGTGTGAAGACACGGGCGGTGGTATACCACCCGAGGAGCTGTGGGGGTTGCTGGACCCACATGGCCTCGCCTGTCACTCGCCGCATGATATGCATGGCAACGGGCATCATAAAATCATGGTGAGTGCTTGGATTCATATAAAGCCTCGACGATATCAGCATGAGTACTCAGTGAGTATTTACTGGATTCATAATTGTGTCTAGCCTTGCAAAATCTTCTAACCACCACTTGAAATCCCTAGATTGGGTTACCCATTTCTGGGTTTGAGTTGCGAGATTTCTCGTTTTTGGATTGTGATTTAGCAGGAGAGAATACGATCGCTGGGGAGGGCAGACTCATGGAAGGGCTCAGGGCGGCAACGGGAGCGCAGCGTGTGGGATCCGTTGCAGCGCGATCGCAAGGCAGCTGCTGGCCCCCGCTGGACGCCCTACCCTGTTCGCGTCCTGCTCTCCACCTCCCTTGTGAGCTCCTCATCCTCCCCTGTGAGCTTCTACGTTTGTAAGCCAGTAGAGATTGAATTTGTTATATGCATAATTTTTGGTAGGCAGAGCTAAGCTTCAATCCAGGAAATTTGGCACCACTCGCAAAGTGTTACTGCATCTGTTTCTTCCCCTCATTTCCTAAATTATCATAATCGTCACACCCAAACATACTTCTCCCGTCGACCCTCCGCGTTGCACGTCTCGTTCCACTTTCCTTCACACGATCGTTGTGTCTAATTTTCCCTCTCTTCTTCGCAATACTCCCGTCCCTTTACACCCTCCCCTGCCCCCTTTCCCCCTCTTTCCCTCCACCTCGCCTCCCTTTTTCCCCTTTTTTTCTGAATTACCTTCCCACCCTCCCCTCTCCTCTTACATACCTTCTTCTCTCCCCCTTCTTCTCTCCCCCTTCATCTCTCCCCCTTCTTCTCTCCCTCTTCTTCTTTCTTGCATCTCTTCACTTCGTTACTCCTCCGCCCCATCTCCCACTCCCATCCCATCTCCTTCCTCGTCTCTCCGCAATGGCATGGCAGGTGGCGGAGATGCGGGGGGCATGGCAGTGCTGTCAGACCTACTTTCTTATCTTGCCCCTCTAATCTCTCCCTGCAGGTGGCGGAGATGCGGGGGGGCATGGCAGCGCTGTCAGACGCCTCCACAGGCACCACCATTCTGCTGGCGCTGCCCTTGGGTGGAGGAAGCAGAGCGGGTGGTGCGGGGGGTGGTGGCGGGGCGGGGGGTGGCGGTGGTGGATGACAACGCGGTGAACCGCATGGTGGCGCGCAGAACGCTGCAGGGCTACGGGGCGCACGTGCTGCTGCTCCCCTCCGGGGAGGAGGCGCTGCAAGCGCTCTCCTCTGCCACGCCCTCCCCGCCCATCCACCTGCTGCTCCTCGACCTCCACATGCCGCCCGGCATCGACAGGTCCATGCCTTGCTTCACCTTTCGTTTGACCTGTTTACATTCTCGTGATATCAATTTGTATACGCTGTTTTTGCCATGGTTAGACCCTGTTTCCTCTTGTCCTGTGCATGACTGGTCGGTCGCTGCTTACTGCAGAAGTTGTGTTTTGCTGCTTACATCTGAAATAGCTTGTCTCCCCTTATTCCTTTTGTTGCCACCCATTGGGCCGCCTGGGTGCTTCAGATTCGAAACAGCTTGTCAAGTTCGGGCCATGGAGAACACGTGTCAGATGAAAGTGGAAACGAGTGCGGCAATTTGAGCAGCCGATAACGAGTGCCGCAATACTAGCGTAGATGATGCAAGCGCAGTAACGTGTGCATCCAGGCAGCGGCTTTGCATTATAGCATTGACTGCAGACTTGGATGCAGGGATCAAGAGAGCATGCTTGGAGGCTGGGATGGATGGAGCAGCTAGGAAGCCGATAGTGGCACAGGAGCTTGCAGCAGCACTCTCTGCTGCAGGGTTCTGACAAAGTTCAGAGTGTTAACATCCCATTCAATACGATGGGGCTCAAGCTCTACCTTAGGGAAAGCTACCTATTCCCTCGTGGCTTTTATTTTGAATAATGTTTATTCTTTGTACCACTACCATTGTAGTCGTATCGTTTATCACTACCTTAGTTACTACTGCATTTTCTACGGAATATTGTTGGGCGGTGGGTTGGGGGTGGGGAAGGTAGGGCTTGAACCCTATCATATTGAAAGTATTGTTAACACTCAGAACTTTGTACAACCCCTGCAGCAGAGAACGCTGCAGCAAGCTCCTGAGCCACTATCGGCTTTCTCACTGCTCCATCCATCCCAGCCTCCAAGCATGCTCTCTTGATTCCTGCATCCAAGTCCGCAGTCAATGCTATAATGCAAAGCCGCTGAAGGGGTGCATTCGTTGCCATGCCTGCTTCATCTTCACTTGTATTGTCTAATTCACAAAATTCCGCAGTCGCTTCAACCTTCTTCTGCTGTGTTTCTTCCATGGCTCGCACTCGACGAGCCGTTTCAAATCTGATGTACCATCGACCCAATAGTGGCAATAATAGGAATAAACGAAGACAGAAATACAAATTTGTGAAGAAAAGCACAAATACAACAAATGCAGTAAGCAATGGGTTGGGTGTGCTTAGGACCAACAATGACAGGACTAACAATTACAAGTTGATATAACCAGAACGCAAACAGGTCGCAGCACAGAGAAGAGGTGAGAGGCACGGACCCGTCGATGCCGGGCGGCATGTGGAGGTCGAGGAGCAGCACGTGGATGGGCGGGGAGGGCGTGGCAGAGGAGAGCGCTTGCAGCGCGTCCTCCCCGGAGGGGAGCAGCAGCACGCGCGCCCCGTAGCCCTGCAGCGTTCTGCGCACCACCATGCGGTTCACCGCGTTGTCATCCACCACCGCCACCCCCCGCCCCGCCACCACCCCCCGCACCACCCGCTCCGCCTCCCCCACCCCGCCCCTTTCCATCTCCGCTTGCGGAAACGTGTGCGCATGCACCAGCGCTCGCGCCCCTGCTGCCGGCCGTGCTGCTGTTTGCGATCCGCTTTCTTGCTCCTCAGCCACCGCCGATAATTTCCCAACTTCCTCCCCACTCCCCTCCCCACCTCCTCTGCTGCTGCCGGCGTCCTCCCCTCTGCTGCCGACGTCCTCCCCTCTGCCGTCAGCGTCCTCCCCTCCCCCCAGGGGCAGCGCCAGCAGAATGGTGGTGCCTGTGGAGGCGTGTGACAGCACTGCCATGCCCCCCCACATCTCCGCCACCTGCAGGGAGAGATTAGAGGGGCAAGATAAGAAAGTAGGTCTGACAGCACTGCCATGCCCCCCCGCATCTCTGCTACCTGCCATGCAGGGAGAAGGAGAGGTGGAGGGGGAGAAGGCAGGGAAAGCGGTTAAGGGATGGACATAGTATGATGAAAGGTATATTAGAGAAGAGGGAAGTTTGATTACAACAAACGTATGTAGAAGAGACGTACAAGTATGGAACCTGATAGGTAGCGGAGGAAGCAATTTCAAGTACATTCTTTCAATCAGTTTGTGAGTGGTGCCAGAATTCCTATTTGACCAAGTAGTCGGTCCTCATTGAATGAAAATCAGAGCGAGCCTCCATGAACAGCAAGCGTTTCTAAAAAATCTTAGTTTTCACCTTCGCGACACCTCCTGATTACTCTACATCTACAATTTTGTAAACCGATCAGCTTGGCCTCTGGAAAGCTAACACTTCCTATCATCCATTAGTGATTTATACGATTGCCTTTTTCGAAACCTCACACTTTTTTTTAATGTCCCAGATTTAAAAAAAACTGTGACCGGCTTACTGCTATGTGTTGTCCAGCATATTATACTTTAGCATTGCTTTGTAGGCCATATAAATGCTTAAAAACCCTAAATTTCTTGCCGGAATTGACTGGATACGACTAGATGCTATGGCGGATGGGGTAGGGTTGGGAGGAAGGAGGAGGCGAGTTGTCCTAAGACCATACAGCAAAATATTTGGCTGTATGGTCGAGCATCGAGGCAACCGGATGAGGCAAATTTTTGAGTAAAGAATTCCTGGACTCGGATGAGGCGCATAGCTGGACTCGGATGAGGCGCATAGGTGGACTCGAATGAGGCCACTCTGGTTGAGGCCACTCTCTTCCTTGCCTTAGCAAACTGCCCTGTCTACCGGTTATAGTGTTTGTGAATACTGAAACATTTGTTTACAGTGCTCTAAGGGGAAACGGAGGGCAGGCTGAGGCGCTCACAAGGGAGGTGGAGAGCAGGAAGCTCACAAGGGAGGTGGAGAGCAGGAAGCTCACAAGGGAGGTGGAGAGCAGGAAGCTCACAAGGGAGGTGGAGAGCAGGAAGCGAACAGGGTAGGGAGTCCAGCGGGGGCCAGCAGCTGCCTTGCGATCGCGCTGCAACGGATCCCACACGCTGCGCTCCCTCTGCCGCCATGATGCCAACCTTCCCAAGCCCTTCCGTGAGTCCGCTCTACCCAGGACCTTCCGTGAGTCCGCTTTCCCCAAGACCTTCCGTGAATCCGCCCTCCCCAACGACCGTATTCTCTCCTGCGTCAGTATCAAAATTGAATCAGGGAATTCACAAATCAATTGCAAGCAGCACCACCCTGCGTCAGTATCAAAATTGAACCGTGAGTGAGCGCACCAGAGTGGGCCAGTGGATGATGATTGAGAAGATTTGAACAAGAATGAATGAACTATGAATGAAGTGAGTACATATAGCTAACCCTAATTGGGTTGTACCCCCTATGGGATACCCCACTATAGCCTACACAACAGCATAAGCTATATATATGTTCTGACACACCCCCATAGGCAAAGTGGGGGAGAACAAGGGGTCACAAGACCAGTCACGCAAAGAACAGCAAGCTCAGGGTGGATCACAAAGTCACCACACAGTCCGAGCACAACGACAAGGCCACAAGGCCAGTTCACATGCAGGAGTGCACATATATATATAGAGCTAGACAAGCAAGAGCAGGTATATATATGTGACAGTACAAGCAAGGTCAAGAGGAGAGCAAGTGAGGCAAGACAGGTACAAGACCCAGCTGAGTGCAGAAGCGCTGATGGTCACAAGGCGGAAGTGCCTTGGTGAACACATCAGCAGTGTTGGCCTCAGAGGCCACGTACGCAAGTCGCAACTGACCACGCTGCTGCAGCTCACGAGCAAGAAAGTAACGGAGAGCAATGTGCTTCGTTCTGTGCTCCAAGCGCTGCTCTCGACACAAGGCCAGCATGGCCTTGTTGTCTACGTACAGCACTGGAGGAGAACGAGGCGGCTCTCCAAGGTCAGTCAGCAGGTAGGTGAGCCAGCGAAGCTCCTGTGCAGCCATGGCCCCGGCGTAGATCTCAGCCTCACAACTGGAGCCGAGAACAGAGGACGAGCGAGTAGCCCGCCACGAGACAGAGCCGGAACCAAGACTGAAGGTGTAACCCTGCGACGACCGCTGCGTAGCCTGGTCGTCAGCCCAAGAAGCGTCCGCGTGCCCAGTGAGCACCACTGGACTCCGCCCTCCAAGCACTAGCCCCATGCCCGACGTACTGCACAAGTAGCGCAACACCCTCTTCGCTGCAGCCATGTGCTCTGGTCGGTGTCTCCCAGGAGCAACATAGCGTGCAAGAATGCTAAGAGGGTATGCAAGGTCAGGTCGTGTGCAGGTCATCAGGTACATGAGGCAACCAACAAGCTCTGGGTATGGGCCACTCAACTCTACGGACTCATCCGAAGGCAGAGCTGAGAGCGAGTGGCGAGTAGGCAGAGGAGTGGCCTGAGGCGAGGAGTACGTGAAGCCGAAGCGCTGAAGGACCTGCTGCACCATGTGTGACTGAGTCAAGGTAATGGTGCGGCGTGCTCTGTCCCGAGTGATCTGCAAGCCAAGGTAGCTGCGCAGTTCACCCAGGTCTGTGCACGTGTGTCTCTTCTGCAGCTCGGACTTCACGTAGGCTAGTCCAGCAGTGTCAGCTGTGGCAAAGACCAAGTCGTCGACGTACACGAGGATGTAGAACGGCGGCAAAGAAGTGTCGGTGCGCAGAAACAACGACGGGTCAGCAGTAGAGGGAGCAAACCCAAGAGCCGCAAGCGTAGTCCTCAGTGTGTCGTGCCACTCACGCGGTGCCTGGCGGAGACCGTAGACTGGCCGTCGGAGGCTCCACTGGGTGCCAGGAGGGAAAGTCCCAGTGAAGCCAGGTGGACGGCGCAGCCAGATCTCCTCGTGCAGGCTACCCTGCAAGAAAGCAGTGCTGAAGTCAAGAGAGTGGAGCTCGTAGTCGCGCTGAGCGGCTATGTGCAGCAGCACCCGAAGAGTGGTCATCTTCGGGGTGGGAGAGAAGGTCTGAAAGTAGTCAACTCCCTGCCGCTGACTGAAGCCACGAGCGACGTACCGCGCCTTGAAGACAGGTGGAGAGCCCGGCGGCCGCTTCACCCTGAAGATCCACATGCCACTGACGATGTTCGCCCCAGGAGGGGGAACCGCGTCAACGTAGGTGCCTGTGGACTTCCAGGACGCCATCTCTGCATCCATAGCTGCCTGCCACTGAGAGGAGTAGGGACCCTCTACGGCCTCCGCGTAAGAGCGCGGAGTCGGGATGTCTAGTGCATCCGGGTCTCCCTCAGGGGCAAGTAGTACGGACGCGAGATGAGGTGAAGCAGCAGCCAGACACTGGAACTCCTCCTGCCTGTCCTCAAGGACGTCCGTGCCAAGAGCACACTCACCCCCGACGGACGGAGGACAGACAGACGCAGACTCAGCAACAAGACCGGCAGCGTAGTCTAGACGACAGCGAGCAGCAAAGTCGACGAGCTCAGCAACAAGAGCAGACGCAGCAGTGGACTCAAAAGAGGGGTCAGTGACGACAGTAGCAAGGAGACGTGTGACAGTAGGACTGGTAGCACGAAGAGAGTCGGACTCTGGGTCGGTAAGTGCAGGAAGAGAGGACTCAGGAGGAGAAGGCAAAGGGGCGCGCAGAGGAGCGGTGGACGGACGCAAAGACATCCGGTGCGTGCCAGGGACAGGAGGAGGACGCTGACGCGAACCGCGACCACTAGTGCGAGCAGCACGAACAGGCGACGCAGGACGAGACGCAGGCTCACGACGCTCAGCAAGACCTCCAGTGGGACCAGTGTAAGGAGAGGGAGCAGGAAGTGGGGAGGCGGGCTCTAACTGGGACTGTGACTGAACAGGCTGTGGACACGCTGCAGGAGGAGAAAGACCAAGAACCTGCTGTAGGAGTGGAACGAAGTACGGCCGAGGCCGCGCGGCGACTCCAGACACAGCAGGGACAGCACCCTCAGCAGCAGCACCAGCGCCAACAGCACCTCCAGGGGCAGGACCTCCAGCAGCACCAGCAGCACCAACACCCGCAGCAGCTCCAGCTCCAGGCGGACCCGAAGGCCCAGCAGCTCCGGGACCAGCGGCACAAGTACCCTCAGCAGTCGAAGGAGCTCCGGCTCCAGCAGTACGTCTCCAGCGGCGAGCAAACCACTCGCGCAGCTCCTGTGGAGAGAGGGGCTCCCGCCGAGGCGAAGCACCCGGAGAACCGCCAGGTCCCGCACCGCCAGACGCCACAAGGGGAGGTCCAGTGGCCGCAGGCTCCGCAGCTCCAGGCTCAGCAGCTCCAGACGCAGCACCCCCTGGCTCAGCACCCCAAGTCGCAGCACCCCCAGGCTCAGCACCCCCAGACTCCGCACCCCCAGGCTCAGCACCCCCAGTCGCAGCACCCCCAGGCTCAGCACCCCCAGACTCCGCACCCCCAGGCGCAGCACCCCCACGCGTAGCACCCCCAGAGTCAGCACCCCCAGGCTCAGCACCCGCAGCAGGACCAGAGTCACCAGCAACCTCGACCGGCTCGACTGCGTCTACCTGGGACACACCTGAAGGGGCAGGACCCTGAGGGGGAAGGGGGTCTACCGGGGGGGGACCTGGCACAAGGAAGTGCGGTGGCGGGGGGAGGGAAGGAGTGCGGTAGGGGAAGAGGCGGTAGAAGGGGACTGACTCGTCGAACGTGACGTCCTGGGAGGACAGAACACGACGAGAGGAGGGGTGGTAGAACTGCCACCCTGGGGCGTCAGGGGGGAAGCCGAGGAAGACACAGGGAGCAGCACGAGGGGACAGCTTGTCCGCAGACAAGTCGCGGACAAACGCCCGAGATCCCCAGACACGGAACGCAGACGCATCGCCGACCTTCCCCGTCCACAGCAGAGCTGGAGAGGTCTCCGGTCGGGAGACCCTGGGGTGAAGGTTGATCTGATGCGCCGCGTACCGAACCGCAAACGGCCACAGAAAATGGGGGGCAGCCGCATGCATCATGGACGTACGAGCGACGTCCATGACCATGCCAATGCGGCGCTCAGCAATCCCATTTTGCTGTGGAGAGTCCGGAAGCGTAAAGGTCTGGCGGATGCCTCGTGCACGACAGTAGGCTCGCAGAAGGCCAGAGGAGAACTCTCCACCTCGGTCAGAGTGCAGACGCAGAACAGGAAAGTCCGAGCCGAAGCTCCTCCTGAGCTGGAGACGAGCTGCGCGGATCCAGTCGATCAACACCTCAGTGACATCACCCTTGCTGCGCAAGGGGAAGACTGTGGTGTAACGCGAGTAGTCGTCAACCACCAGCAGGAAGTAGCGCTCGTGACCCTGCCCACGGACGCGGGCCGGGCCCCACACGTCCATGTGAAGCGTCTGCAGAGGAGCCTCTGTCGGGGGAAACTGGGAGGAGTGAGGGGCAGCCCGGAGCCGCCCCTCGACACAGGGGACACAGGAAGGTCCGGGTCCCGAAGGAAGGGGAGGGAGAGACCGGGGAAGACCAGAGACAAGGACACGGGAAGCCATGCCCCGAAGACGAGGCAAGGAGGGGTGGCCAAGACGGTGGTGCCACAGGAGAGTCTCATGAGACAGGCGGCGACACGAGCAGGGGGCAGACTCAGGACCAGACCTGGACGCTGCAGCAAACACCTGACCCGACGCAGCTACCTGGCCAGACGCAGGGACAGGAGGAGACTCAGTGGTCAGGGTGTAGAGACTCGATCCCGGCCGACGCGAAAACGTGGCCAGGTGTCGGCCTGTGCGGGCGTCCGAGCAGTGGGTCACCCGCTGACTCGCAGGAGTAAACTGGTGAACCCCCGCATCCTGCAGGTCAGCACCACTCACCAAGTTCGTCGAGAACGAGGGGAGGTACAGACCAGACAAGGTGCCCGAGGGGGCAGCCGGACACGGGAGGACAGTGGAGAAGTGAGAGAGGACAGGACCCCCAGAGGGGTCAGCCAGGGAGACTGCAACCGGCCGGCCAAGCGGCGTGAGTGTGGTGCGGTCTCGAAAGAAGGAGCGAGAAGCTCCTGAGTCAAGCGTGAAAGTGAGGGAGGCCGAAGCCGACGCAGTACCTGAGAGCGCAGCCTCACCAGTACCTGAGAGTGCAGACGCACTGGCACCTAGAGCAGCAGCCGCAGAAGTACCTGGCGCAGCAGTACCAATGCCCGGGTCGGGCGGGAAACACCGGTAACAGTCACCCTCCTCACTAATAGTCACAGCATACATGGCAGCAAGGATAGCATCAAAGTCAAGATCAAAGATAGCTACGCCAGCCCTAGACAGCTCTCCCCAACGGGGAATCTCACTAGCCTCGGGGAACTGCTGACGCCAAGCGTCCGTCAGGCGGCCAAAGCAGCGCTGGGTGGGGTGGGCACCCCCACACTGCTCACCCGCGCGGTCGCCGGAACGAAGGACGTAGGTGCACGGACCAAAACCCCCACCCCGCTGACGCTGCGTGTACCACTCACGGAGCTGCTGGGGCGGGGGGATGTCCCGCGAACGCTGCTGCTGCTGCTGCTGCTGCTGCTGCTGCTGCTGACGCTGGCCACCACCAGAGCCGCTACGCTGCGGGGCACCACCCCGACCAGCGCCACCCCCTCCGCCACCGCCGCCTCCACCTCCACCACCACCGCTGCCTCCGCTCCCACCGCTGCCGCCACCACCGCCTCCTCCTCCGCTGCTGCCACCGCCACCACCGCCCCCGCCACCACCCCCACCGCCACCCCCACTCCCTCCGCCGCCTCCACCGCCACCTCCACCGCCCCCGCCAGTTCCACCCGCGCCCTTGCCCCCCTTGCCCCTGCCAGGGCGGCGACTCCCGCTAGGGGCAGACGCCGCGTAGACCGACTCAAGACCAAGCAGGTCGGCAGCAGCAGCAGAGGCAACAGAGGGCAGCAGGGGGGAAGGAGAACACCCCTCAAAGATGGGGGTGCGAGGGTCACCACGAGAGGCTCCTACAGCGACGATGCTCTTCTCCGCCGCCAGGAGGGACTTCTCGAGGAGGTCGACAGTGAGAGTGGTGGGACAGACTGAGAGGAAGTGGTCCCTGACTACGCGAAGGGAGTCAGGGAGGCGTGTGACTATGTAATAGAGAGTGATGTACATGGGGGGGGGGTTCTTGGCGCAGAACTCAGCAGGAAGGGCGGCGCGGTAGCGAGTGTCACTAGTGCGGAGGTGCGTAATGAGGTCAGCGACAGTGGGAAAGGCAGCAAGGTCAGGAAAGAGGTACAGTAGCATGAGGCGGCTCAGGGCAGCAGTGGCAGGGGAAGAGTAGCGCGCAACTACAGCGTCGTACAAGGTCTGAGCACTCTTGTACTGACTAAAGTGCGCGCGCTCAGTGGTAGGCAGGTGACGACGCACAGCAAGACGTGCAGCAGCATCGCGGGTGGCCCACTGAGAGCGAACAGTGGGGTCAGCATCAGCAGCAGGGGCAGGAGAGGCGCCAGAGGTGAGGTCAAAGAGGGAAAGACCGTCCGTCCTATCGCACTGTAAGAACAGCTGCAGGTCGTCGACCCAGACCTCAAAGTCAATGGCTCGACCCTCAGCGTCAAAAGCGAGGACACTAGGGGTAGCCATGACGACGACAGTGTAGTAGTGCAAGCAGTAGGGGAAGGGCACACAGTAACAGTGGTGCTGTGCTCACCAGGCAGGGCAGGTCGGGCGGCTCGGTAGTAGGGCGGCCCGGCAGCTGGGCGGCTCGGCGGCTCGGCTGCTGGGCGGCTCGGCTCCCGGGCGGCTCGGCGGCAGGGCGACTCGGCGGCAGGGCGGCTCGGCGGCTCGGCTCCCGGGCGGCTCGGCGGCAGGGCGGCTCGGCGGCAGGGCGGCTCGGCTCCCGGGCGGCTCGGCTGCAGGGCGGCTCGACGGCTGGGCGGCTCGGCGGTTGGGCGGTCGGCTGCACGGCGGCTCGGCTGGTGGGCGGCCGGGCGGCTCGGCTGCAGCTGCTGGGCGGCTCGGCTGCGCTGCTGCTGGGCGGCTTGGCCGCTGTAGAGGAGCGGCGGGGCCGCTGCAGAAGGGCGGCGGGGCCGCTGGGTAGGGCCGCGGGGCCGCGAGATAGGGCAGCGGGGCCGCGTGGTAGAGTGGCGGGGGCCGCGCGATGGGGCGGCGGGGCCGCGAGGAAGGGCGGCGGGGCCGCGCGATGGGGCGGCGGGGCCGAGAGGAAGGGCGGCGGGGCCGCTAGGTAGGGTGGCGGGGCCGCGCGATGGGGCGGCGAGGCCGCGAGGAAGGGCGGCGGGGCCGCTAGGTAGGGCGGCGGGGCCTCACGATGGGGCGGCGAGGCCGCGAGGTAGGGCGGCGGGGCCGCGCAATGGGGCGGCGAGGCCGCGAGTAAGGGCGGCGGGGCCGCTAGGTAGGGCGGCGGGGCCGCGCAATAGGGCGGCGAGGCCGCGAGGTAGGGCGACGGGGCTGCTAGGTAGGGCGGCGGGGCCGCTAGGAGAGAGGCGGCAGGGCCGCGATGAAGGGCCGCTAGGGCGGCTCGACGAAGTGAGGGCCCGGAGCGCGACTCGGGCTGAGCGCGCTTCGGGCAGGAAAAAAAAAAACGATGTGGTGGGCCCTAAGCACAGTTCCCAAGGGGGAACCTGCTCGATACCATGAGAAGATTTGAACAAGAATGAATGAACTATGAATGAAGTGAGTACATATAGCTAACCCTAATTGGGTTGTACCCCCTATGGGATACCCCACTATAGCCTACACAACAGCATAAGCTATATATATGTTCTGACAATGATGAATGGAGGTAGAACAGACCGCCTAGTGACATCCGTTATTTCAATACGAACGAGGATTGCTGACAACAATTTAATTTGTACAACAATGCGAACCTGAAGTAACAAACCAGACACTGACCATGACTCTTGGAGGCCCGTTGCTGTGCATGTCGTGCGGCGGGGGACAAGCGAGGCCATGTGGGTCCAGCAACCCCCACAGCTGCTCGGGTGGAATACCACCGCCCGTGTCTTCACACGCCACCACCACCATCCACTCGCCCTCCTCCCTCACCACACACGCTCCCTCCACCCACTCCCTCACCTCCTCCTCCAACCGCTCATCACCACCCTGCCCCTCCTCTGCACTGCCCATGCCGTCTCTGCTGCACCCCTGCCCACACGCCTGGCCAGTCCCGTTGCCCACGGGCTGGCTGGCTGGGTGGCGCTGGGGAAGGCAGAGCAGGCGGGTGGGTGGAGGGAAGCGCCGCACACAGCCGGCCAGCTGATGCCACTCTGAGGAGGCTAGGGGCACCTCCGAGGAGGTTTGGGTGGAGGCCGTGGCAGCAGCAGCTGAAGGAGGAGGCGTGGTGGCGGCATGGGGAGGAGGGATGCACCAGAGGCGGATGGTTATGTGGCCCGTTACCGTGTTGTTCATGGCACTGGCTGCACGAGGGAATGACGTGGTGGGGGGGGGCAGGGGGCCGGGGTGGGGCGTTGGGGAGAGGATTGGGGGTTGGGTGAGGCACAGGAGCGGAGAATCTGCGATGTGTAGAAAATTAAAGCAGCGTAATGACATACGTGTGCTTGCATGACATCATGGCCTTCCATGGGATCATGGCCTTCCATGGCATCATGGCTTTCCATGGCATCATGACCTTCTATGGCATCATGGCCTTCCAAGCTCACTCATGACATCACTGCCGGTCAAATCGGTTTGGATCAAACGAACTTAAACTGAGGGGCGTGATTACACCAAACCGAATCAGTTCGGATCAAACCAATCTGAAACTGGGTCGCGGTTTAAGTTTCGCCCTTCCATAGTTCAACAGGTTCGGTTTGTTTCATCTTGGCCCTTCATCGCATCAACATGCAGTGCAGCCAAGCTAAGCTGAACAACCTACCCACTACTTTTCCCCCGCCTTCCCCTCTTGAACCACCTTCCCCTACTTTTCCCCCGCCTTCCCCTCTTGAACCACCTTCCCCTACTTTTCCCCCGCCTTCCCCTCTTGAACCACCTTCCCCTACTTTTCCCCCGCCTTCCCCTCTTGAACCATGTCATCCATTACTTTTGCAAGGTTCGCCGACCCGAAGACCGGGGTTTGAATTAGGCATAAGGAAATGACCCGGCTGGGTCGGGTAAACCATATATCCAACCAACACGACCTCTGGCCGGGACAGGGCAGCGGAAATGGGTAATGGTTTTTTTTTTGTTGTGCCAACCCATCGGGTTCGGGTCGGCCCGACCCGAAATCGGGTCATGAGAAAGATTTCATCGGCTAGACTACAGCAGGGTTGTGCGCTTCTGCTCTGCACCAGGTCATGATACGGACATTCGTACTCTAGACCACCAAAATCAGTTTTTGCTGAGATTCTACATCCAATTTCGCCTCTACATCCTGATAAATCGCTAGACAACAATCGTACACTGATGTAACAAGACCGGTTCGGTAACAAACCGAACAAGATGGCCAGAAATCGGTTCGTTCACGAACAGGTTCTTTTTGTAAAAGAACCTGCCCGGTTCGTTAACCGTAAATATCGAACAGGTTCGGTTAAGTGATTTGCACATGCCAACCTTACATTCTTGTAGCGAACCACTCACCGACAAGTTCAGCCATAACTTGCAAGAGGCGACTTGGATCACCGATCAAAGTTTCCGGAACACTCTCATCCACATGGACTGTCACTGTGTTGAACAAGCAAACAAACAAATAAACAAATAAACAAATAAACAAATAAAAACACGATAAACGTCAAGTCTTGAAGGCCAAAGCGAAGAGCTCTTACCCACATGGACTGTCAATGTATGTAACTAACAATGAAACAAGCAAAGAATTAAAGAAACAAAGAAACAAAGACTGAAACCACGATACTCACGAAGTTTAGAAATCTAGGAGAAGAGCGACCCAATTGCACACTCATACCTTGCAGATTCCTCCCCGAATTGACAGCTGTTGCAGTTGCCCCGCGAACGATGCGGCGCAGGCAGCAAGGGAGAGTCTCGAGCTGCAGCCTGCCGGCCTGCAGCTTGGCGAGGTCCAACACTCGGTTGATGAGCTCCACCGTCTCGCCCGCACACGCCCTCGCCACCCGCAGGTCCTCATGCTGCCACTCCTCCAATGGCGAATCCAACAGCTCATCGATCATGCCTGCCGGTGGGGACGAGGCGCACCGTAAAAATAGGATTTCATGACAAATGTTTGCATGCGCATTGTGTGTAGAAACACCTGGAAATAAAAACAAAGGTGATATTACTTAACTTCTGGTGCAATGCATGCACTCACCCATCATGCAACACTGTCACCCATCATGTCATGCTCTCACTCACCCACCATGCCACGCTCTTTCACCCATCATGCCATGCTCCCATGCATCATCCCATGCCCTCTCTCACCCATCATGCCAATGATTGGGGTGCGCAGCTCATGCGACGTGCTGGCCACCGCCTCACTCTTGGACCGCTCAGCTCTCTCCAAGATGGCTGTGCACACCTGAATCTCCTTCACATCCGCTTCTAAACTCCTCTTCTTCCGAACCAACACTGCAATCACGGTCGATAGCAGCACTGCCACCAGCAGCACCAGCAGGCCCAGCAGCATGGGGGCATACACGAGGTCCCACTTAGGGTAGGGGCCCTCAAACCTGCACATTGGCATTTGGGCATTCACGTGGAGTGAAGGAGACATACAGACTTCATGTGAAGGAGACACCAGCAGCACCAGCAGGCCCAGCAGCATGGGAGCATACACGAGGTCCCAAGCTGGAAGGGCTACATCCCTACTCATGTTTGCAACCCGCGACTGTATGCATACCTGCAGTGTGCTTCGAATGTGCGTCCCATCATGTTCTCAGGGAAAGGTTCCACATGCTCGGGTGGCACAAGTGCAGTTGTGGGCAGCACAAAGGGGAAGGCAGAACCGCTTTCCAACCGTGGCTCATCTGGACTGTATATCTGCTTCAGCACGCCTACTTCTGTGTTGTCATACATGGCAAATGAGTATGTGCTGCTGCCTGCAAAGAGGAGAGAAAGGAACAAGCAAGCCTATGTGAGATTCAGAATAGAAAATATGCTCAGTAGGTAGAAACCATTTTACAATCTCGCCATTAAAGAGGTAATCATATTAAACGTTTGAAATAGTCAATCTCGACCCAACCCTAGCGCTGGCCGTAGCCGTCAGCCCATAGCCATCCCACCAACCCCCAATCCTCCCCCCTCCTAGCCCAGCTACCAGACGGTGCCCGAGATAGCTTAAAAGTTGGGTCACGGGTCGTCCCGACAAGCCGGGTTGAAATGGCCCCAAAAATGCGCCAGCCGGGAGTCGGGTCTGTTCGACCCAAGCCGAAGAACCCGTCCCGACCACTTACCACCTGACCCAACCTGACCCGACCGGACCGAAAAGCTGATAGTCCAGTCGGCCCGATCAGACCCGGGCCGAACCGTTGCTCATGTGTAACCAACTCACCGTTTTCTAGCATGTGCAATAATTCTCGGGCCCTCATTTCTAGATGAACCACACCGGCCCACGCAATGCTTGTGCTCCTTCGAATTTGTTGCGTGGATGCAACGGCCGGCAGAGGATGGCGGAAGATGGGAACGAGAAACACTGCAAGGAAGCGGGGAGGGGAGGAAGGAAGGGTGTACTGAACGGTTGAATGACTAGTCCATCCATTACCTTATTTCGAAATGTTGTACCAAAGATTTGCCCAGATTGTTGCACCAAAGGCCTGGCTGACTGCCTTGATCAGACCACATGTGGTAACATACAGACAGAATTCATGGTCGCCTTGGTAGAGAACGCGTGGCGATTGTGGCCCATGCTGCAAAAAACATGGTTGATGAGACCTAGTAGCATCCCTTTAAAGAGGTGTGCATTGCTTTGCAGTCCCACTAGCAAGTGGAGGCTCAATCACTTCTGAACGACACTTCTAAAAACATAAGTTGAAGCGGGGATGACACTTGAAACCACGAGAGGCTGGCTATGTTGCGGAAGACGCGTCTAGCGTCTTAGACGGTTGCGTCTAGACGCAGCGTCTAAGACGCTAGACGCATTTCAGGCCAGATTAGACGCATATTAGACGAAACCTCGGGCAGGCAAAAAAAATAGTACGGGCAACCTAAAAAACCTTCTATAGGCCATGGGGAGGGTGAGGGGGAATGGGATGAAGACGACCTCTGGGTATAGCAGACGAATTAGGCTGCTGGGACATTCATCGAGATCTAGAACTTCTAGATCTAACATTGACGCTCACAATTTCATATCTCAAATTGGTTGGGTTTTCTAGATTCAGTGCGGTGAAGGTCGGTAATGGGAGGGGGAATTGGTTGGTCACGAAATGGTTCACAAATCTGTTGGTTGCGGGGACGAATTCCAATTTCGACATAGCTTTCCGTTTCTCAATTTCTCTCATACCTCCTCCTATGCTTCTTCTAGAACGTCTTTATTTGGCCGGCTCATTGTAGAGCAGAGGCGTGCAACACTCTAGTCCTAGCTGCTGATACTATTATGGGGGGTGGGGCTAACAGCTAGGTTTGGGGGATGTTATCAAGGTCGAAATGGGTGGGAGGGGTTGAAATTTTGCGCGCGCGATTTTTTTTTTCGGGCTGACCGAAAAAAATCCCCCCATGCGTCTAGCGTCTAAAGGTGCGTCTTGCGTCTAGCATCTAGACGCTAGACGCAGGACGGTCCCTGCGTCTTCCGCAACATAGGAGGCAGGGCACAAAGGAAAAGGGAGAGCACGAACCGATTGCCACATATCCGGGTCCAGTGGAGACAGGAGCGTCGGCGATGGTCTGGCCTCTTAGCAAGTTGGTCCGGAGGTCAGGAGGGATGAGAGGGAAGAAGTCGGTGAAGGGCTTTATGGGAAATTCGGGGTTGATGCTGCCGTACACGTTCACTCCGTACAGATCCTTTTTTAAGGCAGGCAGGCCTAGCACTGTCTGGATTGGATGCTCTATGATGCCCTCAACCAGGGGCCTGCAGGGAGGGGAAGCAAGGAGTAGTGCAATGAGGGGAAGCGAGGAGTGCATGACTCTAGGAAAGGCCTCCTTTGAGATGGCCCTTCCGTGAGAGGGCTCCCATGAGGGGCCTATGTTGGAAAAGTCACCAGCCTGGGCATGCGTACAGCGTATATATGCAGACGAATATACGCTGTACGCAATACGCAAGTACATTCGTTCGGAAAAATCTGGGCTGCCCGGCCAAAAAAGAAAAAGAAAAAGTTTGCGCACGAAATTGGAAAATGCGTCGCGACACACATTGTGCGCACGGAATTTGCAAATGCGACGTCAAATTGTTCGCACATCAGAACAATTCGTCGACCCCAAACACACAAATTTGGCAAGGGGACATTCAAATCAACCGCATTACCGTCCTTTACCCCGCAACTCCAACTCAGCTACATGAATGTCTCCCACCAGCATACCTCAACTCTCATCGAGGACAAAAAGGTAAGTCCCTTCCAACCCTAAACGTTCTCATCAGTCACGTCGTCCAATTCTCTTTCTCCAGTTCTCTCGATCACCTCGCGGCTCTACGATGACGCCCCCTACTGGCACTGGCACTCCCGCGAGTGCGGCTAATGAGGTTCCTAGTGCCGCCTGATCGGGAAAAAATTTTACCTGTCCGGGCAGCGTATTTTTCACGTATTCTTGAGTCACCCATTCAGCGCATCCCGTATTATACGCAAGCGTATATACGCTTGCGTATAATACGTTGGCGCGACTTTTCCAACATAGTGAGGGGCCTCAAATGAGTGGTGAAAGTGCAGTGCTGCAGGGAAGCATGTGTCAAGCGGTGCTGGGAAAGTGGATTTTTTAGAGCCCAGTTCGCACAGTGCTACTAACTCACCCCCTTGATTTCACCCTAACATTCTTGGATTGGTTGAAACCCGTGGACCTGACCTGCCTTGGTCGGTGACGACCGTGATGATGGCCCCCGTGCTGTGGTTGCCCTTGTGAGTGATTTTTTAGAATTCTAAAAAATCACTCATGCATCCGCCTGCCAGACTTTCCAGGTGCCCAAGAGCCAGCCAGGCCTGACAGACCTGTCTTGATCAGTGACGACCATGATGATCGTGCCCGTGCTGTAGTTCCCATTGCAACTGTCTGCTGGACTTTAGAGGTTTTGGGGTTTAGGGTGCCCAAGAGCCAGCCAGGCCTGACTGACCTGTCTTGATCAGTGATGACCATGATGATCGTGCCCGTGCTGTAGTTCCCATTGCAACTGCCTGCTGGACTTCAGAGGTTTTGGGGTTTAGGGTGCCCAAGAGCCAGCCAGGCCTGACTGACCTGTCTTGATCAGTGACGACCATGATGATCATGCCCGTCCTGAAGTTGCCTATTTTATCCGCCTGGAGGTTATAGTTCTCCGTAGAGTTGCTGTTCACACACCCCGCCAGCCCCCAGTAGCTCAGGTTGCTGCTGCTGCGCGGCCCAAAGTGCCCCAGGGCGTTTATCAGCCCAATTGCCTCCTGCAGATTGAGGAGGCGCGAGAGGAGATAGGGAGGAGGGGTTGAAAAGAGGGGTTGCAGGGATGTTGCTGCTGCTGCGCAGCCTAAAGTGCCCGAGAAAGCTTCTCAGCCCTACTGCCTCCAGCAGAGTGAGGCGGGAGACAGAAGTAGGGGGTGAAAGAGAGGGTTGTGGAGGGGAACGGGGGGGGGAGGAGGAGGAGGGGGTTTGCAGGGATGTTGCTGCTGCGCGGCCCAAAGTGCCCTCAAGGCAGTTACCAGCCCCATTGACTCCTGCATTGTGAGATGGGAGGTGTGAGATGCGAGAATTCGGAGGGGCGGAGGAAAGTGGGTATGGGGAAAAAAATGGAATCGCTTGCAGGAGGGAGCGCGGTGAGCAGTGCGTGGGTCGGGTGGGGAGGGAGGGGTGATAATTAAAAGGGTAAGCGCAGCGCATGCGGATCGAGTAAGAGCAAAGCGATGCGGTGTATGCGGATGGGGTAAGAGCAATGCGGTGAATGCAGATGGGGTAAGAGCAATGCGGTGAATGCAGATGGGGTAAGAGCAATGCGGTGAATGCAGATGGGGGAAGAGCAATGCGGTGAATGCAGATGGGGTAAGAGCAATGCGGTGAATGCAGATGGGGTAAGAGCAATGCGGTGAATGCAGATGGGGTAAGAGCAATGCGGTGAATGCAGGGGTAAGAGCAATGCGGTGAATGCAGATGGGGTAAGAGCCATGCGGTGAATGCAGATGGGGTAAGAGCAATGCGGTGAATGCAGATGGGGTAAGAGCAATGCGGTGAATGCAGATGGGGTAAGAGCAATGCGGTGAATGCAGATGGGGTAAGAGCAATGCGGTGAATGCAGATGGGGTAAGAGCCATGAGGTGAATGCAGATGGGGTAAGAGCCATGCGGTGAATGCAGATGGGTTAAGAGCAATGCGGTGAATGCAGATGGGGTAAGAGCAATGCGGTGAATGCAGATGGGTTAAGAGCCATGCGGTGAATGCAGATGGGTTAAGAGCCATGCGGTGAATGCAGATGGGTTAAGAGCCATGCGGTGAATGCAGATGGGTTAAGAGCCATGCGGTGAATGCAGATGGGGTAAGAGCCATGAGGTGAATGCAGATGGGGTAAGAGCCATGCGGTGAATGCAGATGGGTTAAGAGCAATGCGGTGAATGCAGATGGGGTAAGAGCAATGCGGTGAATGCAGATGGGTTAAGAGCCATGCAGTGAATGCAGATGGGTTAAGAGCCATGCGGTGAATGCAGATGGGTTAAGAGCCATGCGGTGAATGCAGATGGGTTAAGAGCCATGTGGTGAATGCAGATGGGGTAAGAGCCATGCAGTGAATGCAGATGGGTTAAGAGCAATGCGGTGAATGCAGATGGGGTAAGAGCCATGCGGTGAATGCAGATGGGTTAAGAGCCATGCGGTGAATGCAGATGGGTTAAGAGCCATGCGGTGAATGCAGATGGGTTAAGAGCAATGCGGTGAATGCAGATGGGGTAAGAGCCATGCGGTGAATGCAGATGGGTTAAGAGCCATGCGGTGAATGCAGATGGGGTAAGAGCCATGCGGTGAATGCGGATGGGGTAAGAGCCATGCGGTGAATGCAGATGGGTTAAGAGCAATGCGGTGAATGGGGCTGGAGTACGAGTAGCAGAGGTTCTCCTCTTGAATAGGGTTTGGGGAGACTCGGAGACTGAAAGCGCATGGAGGCAAGGGGACTACTACTACGAACAGTGCAGACGGAGGGGGAGAGAGGGAGAAGGGGAGTGATCACACAGGCGGCAATTGTGGTTGGGCGAGTGGGAGGCACGAAGCTTAGTAATGAGGGAGAGACGCAAGCAGGTGTCACGCATGTCTGTATAACGTCCCGCTAGGCTACTGGGCCAGAACGCGGGCCAATCAGATGCGTGGCGAACGCCTCTAAACCCGTGTGTAAGGTGCCTACTGAGTCGCCTCAAAAGCCACCTCGTTTCTAGTCAACTCAAAGTGTGAAAGTCCACAGACGTTACATTCTGAGACACTCGATCAGGTCGTTTGGATGTACTGGGCTGGGCACTGAAGGAAACGTCACCACCTTTGAGGTGTGGAAGGCACGAGAAGGAGCGGGTGGAAGGGTGGGGAAGGGAGCGAGTGGAAGGCACGACTCGGGGCGGTATGCAAGGGCTAGGGCTAGTGAATTCCGTGCGTGAGTGTTGCTATGATGGACGAGCGGTGTCGTCGCAAGAGGCGTTCCTGAGGTCGGATTGCCATGTCTCTACGCGATTCTGTGAAAAAAAATGCCAAAATGTGGTTCGTTTAAGGTTTGTCAACGGGTCAGATGGGCTCGTCGCAACTTTTTGTCTGGCGGGTCGCCGGCTCACATGATGTGTGCGCGCGAATGGACGAGAAATGCGGCCACTGGGCTATCGTGTACCTGCGCATGGGAGACGGACGATAAGATGTCCTGGTAGAGGTATCGCACGCGCGTGCGACACCACGCTCGCATCGCCTCCTGCCGCGGATTGGCGGCCTGCGAGTGCGCGAACCACACCACCCACGCGCACAGCCCCATCCATCCCGCCACCCACGCCGCAACTAGCGCCGCCCTCGCCACGCCTGGCGGCAGGCGGCCCGGGGAGAAACGCACCAGCGACGAGCACATGGGCCGCGCGATGGAAGCAGGCGACTTTGAAGGACGGGGATGCATCAGGCTACGTGTGCGGTGCGGAGCGCGGAAGGATCAATAATACGGGTGCGGGCGGGTAATTTTTGTTTATTTGAACGCGATTCAGTAATATGTATCGCGTTGTCCAGTGCTCGAATCAATATTCAGATTGGTCGGGATGGGTATTGAACAAAGACGATCTGGAAATTACCCGCCCTAAAGAGGTGAGCTCCTAGATCAGACAGAGAATGCTGCGACAACAGTTTCAGCAGCCGATGTTGTGGTGGGCTGGGGGGTTTAGCATAGTATAGCTCAGCGGACAAAAAACGCCGCCCAATTCCGCGGTAGGGAAAGGACAGCGTCCCTCCTCGAACTTGACGAACAACCGACGACCTCCGCGTCGAAAGCTCGGGCGAACAGGTTGGGCTCAGTGCCAGCGAGCCCTCGGGATTGACGACGACCTGACGACCTAGGTTTCCCTTCTCGGCCCCTTCGCCGCCCTTAGCGGCCCTTATGCGGCTCCTTCACGGCCCTGCCGCCCCGCCGTCGCCGCCCCAGCAGTAGCTGCCGTCGCGCCGTGACAGCCGCCGCCGCCGCTGCCGGGGCCGCAGCAGCCGCCGCCGCCGACAGCAGCAGCCGCCGCCGCCGCCGCCGCTGCCGGGGCCGCAGCCGCTGCCGCCGACGACAGCAGAAGCCGCCGCCGCCGTCCCGGCCCTGCCCTGCAGCTGAGGCGCGGCACTCCTCTGCCGCCCTGTCGCGGCCCTGTCCCTGCCGGCGCGCCTCGGCCCTGCCCCACCACTTGCGGACCTCTACCCACCCGCCCTGGTAAGCGCACCGCCGAGCCGCGCCTCTGCTACTGAGCTGCTCCTTGCCTGCTGCTACTACTGCTAGCCTGCTGCTGCTGCTATCATGGCTACCCCTAGTGTTCTCACCTTTGATGCTGAGGGTCGGGCTGTCGACTTTGAGGTCTGGGTCGATGATCTGCAGCTTTTCCTGCAGTGCGATAGAAAATACGGTCTCTCACTGTTCGATCTCACGTCTGGCGCCTCTGCTGCCCCTGCTGCCGATGCTGACACCACTGTTCGCTCACAGTGGGCCACACGCGATGCGGCTGCCCGTCTTGCTGGGCGTAGTTACTTGCCGTCCACTGAGCGCGCGCACTTTAGTCAGTACAAGAGTGCTATGACCTTGTACGGCGCTGTAGTTGCACGCTACTCTTCCCCTGCCACTGCTGCCCTTAGCCGCCTCATGCTGCCGTACATGTTCCCTGACCTCGCCGCCTTTCCCACAGTCGCTGACCTCACTACGCACCTTTGCACTAGTGACACCCGCTACCGCGCTGCGCTTCCTGCTGAGTTCTGCGCCAAGAACCCCCCCCCCCATGTACATCACCCTCTACTACATAGTCACCCGGCTCCCTGACTCCCTTCGCTCGGTCAGGGACCACTTCCTCTTTGTTTGCCCCACCACACTCACCGTTGACCTCCTCGAGGAGCGCCTCCTGGCAGCTGAGAAGAGTATAGTCGCTGTAAGAGCCTCTCGTGGTGACCCTCATACCCCCTTCTTTGAGGGGTGCTCCCCCTCCCCCCTTTTGCCCTCTGTTGCCTCTGCTGCTGCGGTCGACCTCGTTGGCACCGAGTCGGTCGGCGCTGCGTCTGTCCCTAGCGGGAGACGCCGCACAGGCAAGGGCAAGGGGGGCAAGGGCGCTGGAGCAGCTGGCGGGGGCGGTGGAGGTGGCGGTGGAGGCGGCGGAGGGAGTGGGGGTGCAGGTGGTGGTGGTGGCGGGGGTGGGGGCCTCGGTGGCGGCGGCGGAGGCGGAGGAGGCGGCGGCAGTGGCAGTGGGAGCGGAGGAGGTGGCGGTGGTGGCGGTGGCGGCAGCGGCTGTGGAGCTGGTCGGGGTGGCTCTGTGCAGCGGGGAGACTTCGGTGGTGGTCAACGCCAGTAGCAGCAGCGCACTCGTGAGACCCCGCCCCCCCAGCAGCTTCGTGAGTGGTACGCTGCGCGACAGCGGGGTGGGGGTACTGGTCCCTGTGCTTACGTCCTGCGTACCGGCGACCGCACTGGTGAGCCGTACGGTGGCCCGCACTCCACCCAGTGCTGCTTCGGCCGCCTGACGGACGCCTGGCGTCTCCAGTTCCCTGACGCTATCCCTCGCTGGGGCGAGCTGCTTAGGTCGGGGGTTGCTATCTTTGATCTTGATTATGATGCTATTCTTGCTGCAATGTATGTTGTCTCTACTAGTGATGAGCGTGACTGTTACCTGTGTGTTCCGCCTGACCCGGGCATTGTGGCTGCTGCTCTAGGTACTGGTGAGGCTGCTGCTCTCGGTGCTCGTGCGTCTGCTGCTCCAGGTACCAGTGAGTCTGCTGCCCCAGGTGCTGGTGAGTCTGCTCTCTCAGGTACCACGTCGGCTCAGGCTTTGCACACTTTCACCCTTGACTCGGGTGCTTCCCGCTCCTTCTTTCGAGACCGCACCACACTCACGCCGCTTCGTCGGCCGGTTGCAGTCTCACTGGCAGACCCCTCTGGGGGTCCTGTCCTTTCTCACTTCTCCACTGTCTTACCGTGTCCGGCGGCCCCCTATGGCACCCTGTCAAGTCTGTACCTCCCCTCATTCTCTACGAACTTGGTGAGTGGTGCTGACCTACAGGATGGGGGGGTTGACCAGTTCACTCCTGCAAGTCAGCGAGTGACCCACTGTACGTGTGCTCGGACGGGCCGACACTTGGCCGCGTTTACCCGTCACCCAGGGTCGAGCCTGTACACACTGACTACTGAGTCTCCTCCAGTTGCTACGTCTGGTCAGGTAGCTGCGTCGGGTCATACGTCTGCTGCGGCGTCCAGGTCTGGTCCTGAGTCTGACCCCTGCTCGTGTCGTCTCCTGTCTCACCAGACTCTCCTCTGGCACCACCGCCTTGGTCACCCCTCCCTGCCTCGTCTCCGAGGCATGGCCTCCCGTGTCCTTGTCTCTGGTCTTCCCCGGTCCCTCCCTCCTCTTCCTCCAGGGCCTGCCCCTACCTGCGTTCCCTGCGTCGAGGGGCGGCAGCGCGCTGCTCCTCACTCCTCCGAGTTTCCTCCGACAGAGGCTCCGCTGCAGACGCTTCACATGGACGTGTGGGGCCCAGCTCGCGTCCGTGGACAGGGTCACGAGCGTTACTTCCTGCTGGTGGTTGACGACTACTCGCGTTACAACACTGTCCTCCCCTTGCACAGCAAGGGTGAGGTCACTGGGGTGTTGATCGACTGGATCCGCGCTGCCCGTCTCCAGCTCAGAGACAGTTTTGGCTCGGACTTTCCTGTTCTGCGTCTGCACTCCGACAGAGGTGGAGAGTTTTCCTCCGACCTTCTGTGAGCCTTCTGTCGTGCGCGAGGCATCCGCCAGACGTTCACGCTTTCGGCCTCTCCACAGCAAAATGGGATTGCTGAGCGCCGCATTGGCATGGTCATGGACGTCGCTCGTACGTCCATGATCCATGCGGCTGCTCCCCATTTTCTGTGGCCGTTCGCGGTTCAGTACGCGGCGCATCAGATCATCCTTCAGCCCCGGGTCTCCTTGCCGGAGACCTCCCCTACTCTGCGGTGGACAGGGAAGGTTGGCGATGCGTCTGCGTTCCGTGTCTGGGGATCTCGAACTTTTGACCGCGACTTGTCTGCGGACAAGTTGTCCCCCCGTGCTGTTCCCTGTGTCTTCCTTGGCTTCCCCCCTGACGCGTCTGGTTGGCAGTTTTACCACCCCACCTCGGGCCGTGTTCAGTCCTCTCAGGACGTCATGATTGACGAGTCGGTTCCCTACTACCGTCTCTTCCCCTACCGCGCTACTCCCCTTCCCCCCCCACCGCTCTTCCTCGCGCCATTTCCCCCCCCGGTAGACCCCCTTCCCCCCAGGGTCCTGCCCCCTCAGGTGTGTCCCACGTAGACGCGGTCGAGCCTGTCGAGGTAGCTGTTGACTCTGGTGCTGCTAGGAGTGCTGAGCCTGAGCATGTGGAGCCTGGGGGTGCTGAGTCTGGGGGTGCTGTGCCTGAGGGTGCTGAGCCTGGGGGTGCGGAGCCCGGGGGTGCTGAGTCTGGGGGTGCTGTGCCTGGAGGTGCTGAGCCTGGGGTTGCTGAGTCTGGGGGTGAGGAGCCTGAGGGTGGTGGGCCTACTCGTGTGGAGTCTGGTGCTGCTGGGCCTGGAGGTCCTTCTGGTGCTTCGTCCCGGCGGGAGCCACTCTCTCCGCAGGAGCTGCGCGAGTGGTTTGCTAGGCGCTGGCGCCGTGCTGCTGGCACTGGTGGTGCTTCCGGCGCTGGAGGCTCTACTGCGGCTGGAGGTCCTTCTGCTGCTGAGGGCGCTGGGGGTTTTGGAGCCACAGGTCTCGGAGGTGCTCGTACTGGAGGTACTGGAGCTGCCGGGCCTGGTGGTGCTACTGACGTAGGTGCTGCTGGAGGTACTGGAGCTAGGGGTGCTGCTGGAGGTGCTACTGGAGGTGCTGGAGCTGCGGGTGCTGCTGGAGCAGCTGGTGGAGCTGCTGGAGCTGTTGGAGCTCCCGCTGGGGGTGCTGGTGCTGTCCCTGCTGGTTCCGTACTTCGTTCCGCTCCTTGAGCAGGCTCTTGGTCTTCCGCCCTCTACTGGTCTTGCTCCTCCTTTAGAGTGTCCACCACCTGTCCAGTCCGAGTAACAGTTACCGCCCGCCTCCCAAATGCCTGCTCCTTCTCCCTACACTGGTCCTACTGGAGGTCTTGCTGAGCGTCATGAGCCTGCGTCTCGTCCTGCGTCGCCTGTTCGTGCTGCTCGCGCTAGTCGTCGTCAGCGTCCTCCTGCAGTCCAAGGCACACACCAGATGGCTCTGCGTCCTTCCCCTGCTCCACTGCGTGTCCCTTTGCCGTCTCCTCCAAAGTCTTCTCTTCCTGCTCTAGCTGACCCGGAGTCTGACTCCCTTCGTGCTGCCAGTCCTACTGTCACGCGTCGCCTTGCTACTGTTGTCACTGACCCTTCCTTTGAGTCCACTGCTGCTTCTGCCT